CCCCCTCAGCTCCCGGCCTGACTTCATAAATCACAGCTGCTTCACATCTTGTTCTGCCGAGGGTGCCTCTCCTTGTGACTCCCATTTTGGGATAAATGTATCAAACCTCACACTCGATCTTCTTCGTTTTCTGTTTTCAGCTCGTGAGAGTGCGTCAAGTTGAAAAGGAGACGGCAAACTATGGGAGTCAGTGGGGAAAGTGGGCACAGATATAATGTGACAAACACATGTGACATAAAAGTGACCTAACAGACCTCAGGAGACTGAAGCAGTGTGATGATTATTTAAATCAGGAGACACTTATGTTAGAGTTTACAAAAATGTATTTAACAGCTTAGGAAAAGATAAATATACAATGTCTTTTGGGATTAGACTCCATCATGATGACTTCATGCACTCAGAGGGGTAGCGAGGCCGACAGCAGGATAGGATCCCCCCCCCCCCGATGGAGTCTAGACCCTGGTGGTGTTTCTAGAAGAATGCAGAATGTGATGAGGAGTGGGTTTTTGAGGCTGTATCTGAAAGGTGAATGGACGGTTGCAGCGATCGCACTGAAATGACAAACTGACTGTGGAAGAGAGAGAAAAGCTTTTTTAAAATTAGACAGCATCAGGATGATTGGTTGAGAGAGGCTGTGGCAAAATCTGGTTGGATTATTACTTAAAGAGTACACGAACCAAATCAGCTGATCACCAGAGGAGGGAGACGGAGGAAGTGGAAGAGAGGGAGGGGCTACGTAGAATGAAGAAAATGAATAAATGTGTGTGAGAATGCAATTAATGCAAGACATTGAAATTAAAATAAGATTTAAAAAAAATATGTTTTGGAAAAGTTACACTCATAAGAGTGTGAGGAGTCAATACTCAATATTTATCATTAAAAATACAAAATACTAAAACTAGTAAAACTATAAATGGCATCAAGTTTGATATCTACACACAAACACAAACAGAAAGTCTAGTTGTCCCTACTGGTGTAATCGTTCAATATGTGTGTGTGTGTGTGTGCGTGTGAGGCCTCACATACATTGTGTGTGGCTCCATTAATTATGAAGCAGAGACACACACCGGGGTTGTCCTTGAAGAGAAAAACAACGTTTGTTCATAAAAAGAGCAAACGGGGCAAAAATGTTGCTCGCTTGTGCAATTTATGAGACAATGGAAATAAATTGAACAACTTGAACGTACAGTGAGAAATGTGTTCCTCAGAAACGTTGCCAAAAAAAGGAGAGAAAAATGAACAAAGGATTAAAAGTACAGCATGCAGAGATTGGGAGATGATTTTAAAGAAAGGCTGCTGGTCAGAATATCGGGCAGGGCGGTCCTTAAACGCAACACAAACATGAAAATACACCAGCTGTCTTTTGATCAGGTGTTCATTTCTGTTAGAGGAATGCATGCGTATATAAAGCCAATACTTTTGTGTATTTTGAGCACACACAAAAACTTAATATAATCTGTCGTGCACTGCTTGGTTAACAGGTTGATTGACAGACTGTAGTTTTCTGTCCTTAATGTTGTCTTCAGCTCTCTTAGGCCGCAGTCAGCCTATAGGCTCAGATGTCCCGAAGCACACCTTTGTGTTGTGGAGTGTTTTTTCTTCACAATTAATTCACATTTTTCACCGACACTGTGTCGAGTGTAGAGCCTTCTGCTGAGAGAGAGAGTCTTTTACTTTACACTATTTCTTTTGTTTTTCAGCTAAAATGTTCTTGAGTGATTCTCAGTGGCACGTATTGATTTTTAATCCCCTCACTCTGAGTCTCATCCAGCTCGGTGTCTCTCCTGTCTGTCTCTCGGTTTCTATAATGGACACAAACAGAGAGAAATACTCTGAATCCACACAGCGTTCTGCACCTACACTTTATCTACAAGCTGTATTAAGATATGTTTTTATGGATGGTGGCCAAAGGACCAGATGTGTATTAGCTGTTCCCCTTAGTTCTTGAGAAAAGTCGTGTACCTTGTTGAAATTGGATAATAACAGGACGAGGTACGTGAACTAACATCCACACAGGTGTTAAAACTGAAGGTAAGCTACAAACTTGACAAACCACACATATCTATATGTACAATAAACTATCAAAATGATATGTAGGAGTATTATAATGAAGATATCTGGGTCACAACACCTGATACAGCAGCCAAAATGTCCTCTATCTTTCCTCCTGGTAACTACTGGGATTCCCTGGTAGCTCCGCTTGGTTCCCCCCCAGTCTCTCTTGGGATCTACTCCAACTATATTAATGTCACAGGACGTGTCAAAGGGCTTCCCTCACATTTAAGTGGCCCCTCTCTTCCTGAGGAGCAGCAGCGACCAGTGCTTGTCCTTGATCACTGACCTTTTCCACTTAAAGCGCAGTGAGTGTGGACAGTGAGGGGACAGATAAATAGCAGTCTGTAGGTAGAGAGCATGAAGAGGTGTCTGGTTTTGGGAAAAAGGTTGGATGGTCAAGGGCCGAATTTGGCGGTACGAGTGCTCCATTGGACCGGGAAAAAAGGAAAGTGTCACCCATTGGTTTGTGAATCCCCTTTTTTGAAGTTGGTTATTGCCACTTTTGGTTGTGCCATCTTGGTGTTTTACAACTAATGGGTTTTAATCACTTGTTTTTAAAGCGATATTGTGTCTTTACCGTCTTATTTTAGTTTTTCCATTTCTTAAAATGAAGATTGGAAAGTTACTGACAATAAAAAACAGAAAAGAGGAAGTGCCATCTGTATCTCAGAGAGATCTCTCTACCCCAAAGACATTTACCGCCATATCATGTCTTAACCAGAATAGAAAGGAAGGCAGTTTTTGTTTTCTCAGAAATGAAGTGCCTGAACCTCTACTTACTCTGAATCTCTTACATACCAGGAAACACAGGTATGATAAGGCATCAAAGCTGGAGCTGCAGAGTCAATCAATGTCAAGACCTGGGAGAAAAAATAACCTGTGGCAACCTGGGCTGAAGACTCTATGAAGTCTGGTATTTGCTTTATCCAACCTAGATCATTTTTTACCCCAAGCTTCTCGCACCATCCGTGACCCTCAAAAAGCAGGATGTGATTGCCAGGTAGAATCGTAGCGCCTTGTGGGTTTCCAGGATTTTTGATCAGCAGTACAGTCGGCGAGGTTACCTGGTTCATATCAGCTCCCCATGATTCACCTGGACCATCTGGCTTCCAACATTTGCAGAAGCTTGAGTCTTTGCCACAGATGATCATGATGCAAGGCCACTGCAATAAAAGCTGCCTCGCCAAATGATAACCGGGAGCCAGCTGCACCCACTCTTCTTAAAGTAAACCTTCACCTACTTACTGTGTGTCATGGGTGTTAAATTACTAACTAAAATAACTCAACTCAATTCAGCTCTATTTTAAAAATATATGTGTTGCCCCCAATAAACAACATTTGAGTCGAGGCAACTTCAGATTATAGATCCTGAAAGTGTGTAAGTGTAATGGAACATTTGGCTAACTAGGTGGCTAACTTATCTAGCAGAGTTATCATTTGTTTGAATTGACATTTAGTTTAGCAAGCATTAAATATTAATGGACGAAGCCATGAGTGACGTCACTCTTCTGTAACTGCAGGGGGCTTTGGAGTCCCATCGATGGTGGTCTCCACGCTGGAAAATTCTGTTTTCAGTCTAATAGCTGAAGCCGAGGCGAGTTGTAAGCCCCCTGACACACGGAAGTTAATGCGGAAAATATTAAAAAAAAGCTGCAGTACCTCGAGTGTCCACTTGAGGAAGCAAAAGATGGTGAATCCCATCTGGTTCCCTGTTAAAATATACTTTTTAAAAAATTTATTTTTTGGCTTTTTGTGCCTTTTAATGGAGAGATAGGACAGTGGATAGAGATGGAAATCAGGGAGAGAGAGAGAGAGAGAGGGGAATGACATGCGGGAAAGGAGCCACAGTTTGGATTGGAACCTGGGCCGCCCGCTTGGAGGACCATAGCCTCCAAACATGGGGCGCACACACTAACCACTTCATGACCAGCGCCCCTTAAATACACATTTTTACAGCAGAATTAAACGTGTTAATTTGGTCTCTATTGCTTTTTTTAAATTATTATTGGTGAACACTGTGCGGGGTGGTGTTTCCTTAAAACTCATCCGTTTGACTTCATGAAGGCGTGGAATTACGTACAATGTTTCTGACCTTTGGCCGTATGAGTTGACCTACAGGTGGGCAAGTTGAGGCTGTTTGCATGGAGGCAAAATGTAACCAATAGGTGATGTCATGGAATCTATACGTCCATGTTTTATATAGTCTGTTGTTTTAATGTTGCAACATGGTTTCACATGTTTTTTTATCTGAACCTTATGAACTAAATGGACAAATGATAGATTCATGTGTAGCTGGTGCAACACAAAATGTAGACGTTGTGAACGCTCACAAAATGTTTCTTTTTCTGCAATGCTAAGTGGCGATGCTAACTGCCCTTATTTCTGTTCAATGTGGTCAGTTTACGGTCACCTTTCTGGTGATAATTCCATTTTTACAATTCCACCTTTTAAGCTCAGTATCACAGGATTCAGTGTTAGTGTACTGTCCATGTAGAGTCTATCAGTATTCATGAACCCTTCGGTGCTCACTTGTCCAGAGTCAAGAAAGAGGCTGCAGCTTAGGACAATAGAAGCTTTTCCTTCATGACATCTAAGGGAGGAGGTATGCTTGATTTAAACAAAGCGTTTGCATGCACATGATAGCTGCCCTGTGTCTGTTTGGAGCATGCAGTTTGCACATGAACAGAAGAAGCAGTTAAAAGGCCTGAGCTTTCTTGTGCGCCCTCTAGAGGTTTTCTCCTGTAACACACATACTGCACACTCGTTTATGTGAACAATAAAGTTTATGATAGCAGCTGGTTGAGAACACAAGGCAAGGCTAAAATCAAGTATACTTCAAGACTAAACCTGACTGAAAAGAAAGAACTACAGATTTCTAGGCTTTTTCATTTGAGTTTAAGATGGCATCACAAAACCTTATCATGCAAGAATTGATGCAAAGGGACATGGCCATTCGTAAACAGAAGATCTTAGTGGTGAGGTGAGATTTTACTGAAGTCAAACTGTGTGTTTTTTTATTCTCCAATAACTGTCCTTGTGTTTGAAAGCTGCTCTCTGTATGCGTGTCTGTCTGTCTCAGAGGATTTCCTTTTACGATGACCTTGTCTGAGGCTACCTGACATCTTATTCTGGCCTCATCCACTCTCACACGCACGCATGCACACACACACACACACACACACACACACACACACACACAGAAACACGTGCACAGTGGCAGCAGTAAGTGATAACTGAGACGCTCTCTCATACACACACACACACACATATAGAGGAGCTTTACAGGCAGGTGTACACACACACATACACACATTCACACACACACACACACACACACACCCACATATATATATAGAGGGAGCTTTCCAGGCAGGTGGACACACACACACATATATTCACACACACAGGTGTCTAGGTGTCTGGTGGTGCAGTTGCGGGGACAGTTGATCCCCAGACAGATTAGGCTGCAATCAGAAATCTCCTCAGGCCAGCCCCGAGATCATGTGCACTCACACACCGACACACAGATAGACACAAACACACACACAACCACACACAAACCACCAGAGCTCTAAAGTCGGCCACTTTTACCCAGACAGTATTGACTTCCTTATATTTGAAAAATTCTTCAAGTTTTGGGCTGCTTGGAACAGTCCAGCTATCAGTACATACTGTATATGTTGGGAGTGTTTGAACGTTAAGCTTCAGAGAATACAGTTTGTCATTTGTACAGACAATTTTATTTTCAAGATTTCAACATTCCCATATGACGCTTTTGATCTGTGTAAAACATGGGAGCATCAAATGGATTGCAGGTATTGTCGGGAAGTCAACGTTGTGAGTGCTATGATTATCATAGAGAAGACGAGGGTAAACGGCGTTCACCAAGTTTCTAGGTGGCTGAAACCATTCAGTCAAAACAATAGCTACTTTTATGATGCACAGTATATTTGTGTCTGTCCACTATTCAGTAGAAAGCCCTGACCTTTCTTCTGCTGGACACGAGCAGCATAAAAGAAGAAGAGGGTCCATGAAATCCTCAGGGCTCCTAACAGCTGCTTCACAAGCATGACACACATTTCTCCTGCTGTTTTAAACACACCTGCTACGCCCAAACTGTTGGAAACTTCTTTTCCAAACAAAAGCTCTCTTGCCTCCGCCCTGGTAAGTGGGACACCGTTTGTTGTGATCTGATATTCCCTCCTATTGGACGAGCTACGGTTATGTCAAACAGTGTCCAAGTTAAAAAAAAATGTAACATCAGTGCAGGGCGCTCTGACACCACTGTGTCCTATCTGAAAGGCCCTAAGGAGTACATTATGTACATGTTTAAATTCCTGTATTCCTGTATCTCAGTTTGGTCAACATTTCCTAAGGCATTGAAGAAGAAGTTTAGTGGTGACAGGGATTCAGGGTAAGACAATAATCAGTGATAAAAAGTGAATATTTTATTACTGTTATTATCGTAGAACCTGAGGACATGACAACTCAATAAACAGGTTAAAGGGTCTGACATACTTTTTACACTTTTCTTTCTTTCTTTCTTGTACCCAGGAAAATTACCTGAAAATATCTACTTTGGATTCTACAAAGTCACTCTTTCTCTCTGTTGTTTTATCTCTTCTCTTCTATTTCTCTGAATCAGGGTACTGCATGTTTAATTGTGCTGTCTTAAAATGTGCTTGTACTCTGGGAAAAGTCGCTTCATGTAATAAAACTCTTTTCTTTGGTAACTTTTCTGCGGTGCTTTTACCTTTTGGTTTCATATGTGTACTTCTGTCTTCTTCTAACCTTTAGTGATTTCTCTGTGCCGTAGGTTCGACTACCAGGAGCTGCTCCACAACTCCAGTTTCTGCTTGGTGCCCCGCGGCAGACGACTGGGATCCTTTCGCTTCCTGGAGGCCCTGCAGGTCTGTCTGCGTTTATTGATATCTATGTCTGCTGCTGGGGACTGTGTGATCGCAAACCACTTATCGTCTGTCATTCATACTACAAGCCATTAAAGGTCACATATTCTCCTCATTTTCAATAAGTTTAAATAAGTCTCAGAGCTCCCCAGAACATGTCTGTGAAGTGTTGTTCTAAATCCACTCTGATCCTGTACTTGATCATGCCTATAAACCCCTCTATTTCAGCCCTGCTCAGAACAGGCTGTTTCTGTGTCTGTAGCTTCAAATATGTAAATGAGCTGTGTCTGACCACGCCCCCTCTCTGGAAGGACTTGGGTCAGCTCGGGCTTTCTCGCTCCATGTACTATATTGTTTACGGTGAGAAGGCAGACTCAGAGGGCAGAACAAACACCTAGCTGTGGGAGTGTCACCCACCTGGGGGAGGGGTTACTGCCCTTTGTGATGTCATGAAGGGAAAATCTCCAAACAGCCTGTTTGAGCACACATTTTCTTTCACTTTTCTCATATTTGTGGGGTTTGAAGACAGACTAGGGACACATGTTAGTGTTAGAGAAACATGGTGAAGTGTATACTGACAGTTCAGGGTTTAGGGGGATAATTTTTTAACATTTTCTTTGTGTAGTCAGTTTGACGACTGACAATTTTCACTCCCGCATATTTAGTTACTTTACTTTATCTGATACACATTCATAAATTAATCTCATAATCATACCCTCCTGCAGTCTTTGGCAGGTGACGCATTGACGAAAAACTCAAAATAAACTCAACTTCTTTTTAAAATGTAATTTGATGTTTGGCATTCAAAATATTCAGTTTCTAATCAAAAATCTGAACAAAAGAAAGGATGAAACTTTGTGTGGACACTGGAGAATCAATGATTTATTTTTTATTGAAAGATGTACAAAGTAATGGAAAGAATGAGTGGCAGGAATAATGAGCTAAACTTTAATTAAACTTTCCTTTTAGAGGCATGTCAATTATTTTAATGGTTTTTTTAAGAGTGAATCAGACCTGTTTGAGAGAGAGGTGAAATGAGAATAAAAGGTGGGAGAAAGGAAAAGAAGCAAAGGTGTACTAATCATCACTTTTCAGGAGTCAGCACAGAAGTGAGAAATATAAAGACATGTAAGAGGGTTATGGAGGGATGGGATGAGAACAGAAGAGAGAGAGAGTGATCGCACAAAGCCAGACTAATCAAAGCAGCGAGAATGTGCATGGACAGGTCACTGATCATGCACTCGGCATTTTGTGAATCTCCTTTAATCTCGTGGCTTCACTTGATGGAGACTCCGGTCCAACTTGAACTTTAAATGAAATACCAGATTTATTGAAGTTTTTTTTCTCTGACACGGCTCCATTATTCAGACCAGAAATACACAAATCAGACCGTACGGTGCGTCATTACAATGAAGCCATAGCAGGTTTGATATGGGATATGTGGAGTTGTTCTTAGGGGGCCAAGGTGGCGTTTGTCTCTCAACGATACTACCCCTGCTGCTCGGGCAGAATGTGAATGTGTATGATTGGGATTGGTTTAAACTGATGTCCAAACATCAGGTCCAAGGTGGCGTTTGCCTCGTTGGCTATGATGTTTGGATGTTTGTGAACACAGCAATCGCACTCTAATGCCAAACAAAACAAGCGAGCCAAGATCGCCTGAAAGGGGTCGCCTCAATCGAATCCTGAAGCGGATTGTTTGCAGTGAGAACGCAATCAACAATCAAGCGACATCTGGGACAAATAAGTGGTTGACTCAGTAGTTTTATCTGCTTATGAAAAAGACTCAAATTATTATTAGCAACTGGATGTGAACAGCATCAGTGATGGCAGACTCATTTGGGTTCAAAGGGTCGTGTTGTAGAAATCAGTCTTGAAATCAACATCGGTCTCTAGACAACTTTTTGAAGGTCTCGGAATCGAAAGCACTTTTATTCGGTCTTGTCTCGGTCTCAGACATGGCGGACTCTGGATTTTAAATCAACACCAGTCAGTTGACTACAACACTAGTTAGAGGCATAGCTTCACCTCCGCCACATTTTTTTTGAAACCTTTAAATCTTTGACCCAAAACCTGTAAACTTTTTTTTATCCCCACCTGACAGGACGGTGACATTCCCTCTCTAGTGTTTGCATTTAAAAGTAATTTCTGCTAAATCACTCCTTCTTTATACGTTCAATAAAAACTACATAGCTTTGAAAAAGTTTGAAATACGTTAACCATTCAGCTTTGTCCACTTTAGTGTGACTTTCTGAAGTATTTTAAATCCAAACTGCTTTCTCCGATAACAGGATTTGGCTTCCAAAAAACAATTCATTAAATATTTGTGATAGAATTAAAGCTAAAAGTATCAATAAAGTAAAAAACAGGCTTATAAGTGATGCCTAAAGTGAAGTAAATGATCCAGAAAACAACAAATTTTCTCCTTTAACACAGAGTTACACCGTACAGCAGAGGGAAAAATACACTTCTGTCCATTAACCACAGATGAAATGTTGAAAGACCCTCCTGTGGGGAATGAAAGCAGCTCCTGATGAATGAGTTCACATTAATGAATCCTCTAAATACTCACGCACACTGGGAAATAAATAAATACATTAAACGTTGTCCTTAATCTTTTTGGCAGCTTCATTTGTTTCTGCAAAAAACTGGAACTTGGAACAATTTGAAAGAGTCTCATCGGACAGAAAGTACCTAAGAGGATAAATCCCTCAATGGAAGGAAAAATAGATCCTCTCAGCGCTCCGGTTCTTTAAACTTCTGCTTAATAATCTCCCTCACTCCCTCTTTTGATCAAATAACATTTTAATGCATACTTTTTAATAGAGCAGAAGATATATTACCCACAAGTTGTTGCAGGGTGGAAACCCTTCAATTAAGATCTTGCCTAAAGACGTATGTCCACCAGATGGACAGATAACACTGAAAACACTGATATTATCCTATGACTCTTAAAGGCAGGGTTGGTAATTTCCTCCAGATCCACTTTTTAAGATTTTGATTGAAATTGTCTTGAATTGAATGGTTGAATGATTGAATGGTCCTGACAGAAATGAATAACTCATGTTCTCTGAAAAAGGAACGAAGGAAATCTGTCATTTGTAGCAGTTTGTAAGCCTGTAAAAACTTTGACAAATGTCTGCCACAAGGTACCAATCTGATGAACCAATCACTCCTCCCTGCTCGCTCTCTACCCCTTGCGTGCACGAGCCCACACTCAGTTCTTCAGCGATGACGGAGATTATCCTGTGAGTTAGTCGTTGGCCGTTGTGAGCAGTTAAATATTCACATTTTTTAATGTATTGTTTTTAAAGTTTAGTGTTTACTTAACGCTGAACGAGACGACGTAGTTTGTACACAATTCAAGCGATGAGCTGAGGTCCGCTTCTGGAGCAACGGCACTCGTGCATGTAAGTGAGGGGGCGTGGCTTTTGAGGGAGCACAGAGGGGAGGGGGTGGGTGCAGACGCAGCACTGAGGGAATGCTATACTTTCAAAATCGTGCTAGTTTTTTTTTTCTCGAATATTACCAACCCATGCCTTTCATAAAAACATTTATAAAATGTTCTTGCGTTTCTGCTAGATGTCTACAACAGTGTGGGCAGAGCAGAGTAGATTTGTGTTTTTTCAGTTCAGAAAATAATTCTGTTCATGAAGATTTTTAAGCAAATAAATCTAAATAAAATGATCAAACAGTGGTTTTCTGTCAGACTGGAGCCAAGTTGAAAGTCTCTCTTTCAAAAAGGGAGGTCCCTTATGGGGTTTTTACACCCTACATGATCTTTTATTCAACCAAGGTTTCCTTCAAAAAACAAGCTTCTAGTCATATTCATTCCCTTTCTCTCACTTTTCTCTTCCTCACACAGGCGGCGTGTATCCCGGTTATCCTGAGTAACGGCTGGGAGCTTCCTTTCTCTGAAGTCATCGACTGGAGGAAAGCCGCCATCATTGGAGATGAGAGACTGCTGCTGCAGGTAACACATCTGGACACTCTGGAGAAGGGAGGTCCTCGACTTCAAATTACATTTCTGTCGCAAAAGTGTCATTGCTGCTTCTGGAGTCGTCACTAATGGCTAAATAACTTAGCTTAACAACAACAACAATAAACATGTGTGGTACTTTAACAGCCTGTAGGAAACAAACAGTAAATTATCCAGTTGAAAAAAAGAAGCAGTATAAATATAAAGGTTGGTAAAAGCTACAGCGCAGTAATCTGACGTGGAGTAAACCTCCTTTAAACTGTACAGCATGGAAAAGATAAGATGTGCCCTTTTCTGCATCGGCTAATTCAGTGACTGTCTGCTCAAATGCCAACATCTTCCCTGATATAATTGTCCTCTCTGGCTCCAGATCCCCCCTCCCCCCCCTGAGCGATCGCACAGATCCAGCTGGGGCCCATTCAAACCCAGAGGACAGGCAGCACACGGATCAGGAGTCTCTATAAAAATGTTTTGAGCAGATGTGGGTTGTAAAACGTGCAGAAAGGGCTGCGACCGTTTATAGCTTGATTTCTATCACACCGCATCACCCTTTTTAAATAAAAACAATACTCTTGCATGAGAAAGCTAAGGCGTTTATCTTTAAGGTAATCACTTCACAGGTGCGTTGGTGATGTCATTATGTTTCATACAAATACATCCTGTGTTAAACATGATGAACATTTGCATGCTGCAGGGGCTGGTCTTGTTAGAACATTGTTGTTTGTCCCTTAAAGGTACACTTCATTTGTTCCACAATCTAAGGGTTCTTCCCGTCCTCTAAAACATCAGTCATTGGTGTTTTTAGAGCAGAGTTGCACGTCCATTCAATGGGAAGTTGTTACCAACATGAGTGGTGAGTTTGCCTCCCAATGATTGAAAACACACCCCGAACACATAACTGAAGAGCAGACTTCAGTTCCCGCTCAGAGGAATGATGGAGTCTAATTGCAGCGGTGTGGATTGTACTTAATTCTATTTCTCTCAGACGTGACAGCTGTGATATTCACAGTCACTCACACCTCCGCCAGGAACTATTTTTATCCGAGGAGGATTATTCTACGATTGGCTCGCCTCCTGTTCGCTTTAATTACAGCAGCAGGCTGAGCTCGTGATATTTACTTTGTCTAATTACTCTCTATATTACTGTGCGTGCCACCTGTGTGACCCACACCCCCTCCCTCCCCGGGCAGCAGGTGTGAAACTGTGTGTTTCTTAACGTGTGTGTATCCCTTTAATTAAAGTGTCCCAGCCCTCTTTTAGCTGCTAGTAATGATTTCATTTTCTCTGCGAATGACAGAAGCAGACGAGTCTTCATTAAGGGTAAAATATGTCAAATTTTATTAGAATGTTTCCATTAAAATATCAAAATAAATAAAAATGGACAGAACCCATGTTATGCTATGTTCATTACCTCAAATATTCACAGCAGTTATCAAAGCCAGAGAAATCCTTAATTTTAAAGTCGCGACTGCCATGACAGAGCTGCCTGAACAGATACAACATGTTTATCGTTGCCGTGGAAACACCAGATGCATCGTCAAAGTCCGCTGCACAATGAAGCGTGAGCGGCTACTGAAAGCTGCCGTACTGTTGCTGAGTAAGGTCTAACGTCATGTTAATTATACTTGGATACGTCGTCTTTAAACATATCCTCTTTCTTAGGTCGGTTTCGCCCGTTCGTCTTCACTACGGTCAACTCAGAGTTCGTTTTCATCTGGGGTGGGGGATAGCACAGAGAACTCCCATGATTCCCCGCCAGCCTCGACATCCTCTTTATTTTTGGTTTGATCTGATTTACATACTGTGCTATTAACGTATCAAAACTTGGCTTTTACATGACATATAGCATCTCATAACAGACTCATAATGATGGAATAATGATGGGTTTGATTCGTTTCCTCTAAAAGCACGCTAATTGTTGTTTACCAAGCTGATAAAACGTCTGCAGCAGGGTTCATGCACTGACAGTTTGAAACATTAAAAACAAACACGTATGACTAATGTTGAACAAAACTTTTCCCATTAATATTAAAATTTGTTTCTTTAGCGGACATTGATGAATTCATTTAGAAGAACAGGAAGACAAAGATACAAACGAATAATACTGAGTGCACAACATGACAAACCCAACACATGACGACTGATTAGGACGTGTTTGAACCTCCGAGAGCAGCACGCTCAGTAATGATCTGTAAAGTTTTCAAACACACGCCATGAAACCTCAGGCACATTCAAGCTGGTGAGGACTGTCAGCTGTTGAAATGTTTTCCCTGCAGTTTTTTTTATTCTGATTGTTTCCTCCACACCTCCGCTTCCACTATAACAATGAAATAGCTCGAGAGAGAGAGAGAGAGAGAGAGAGAGAGAGAGAGAGAGAGAGAGAGAGAGAGAGAGAGAGAGAGAGAGAGAGAGAGAGAGAGAGAGAGAGAGAGAGAGAGAGAGAGAGAGAGAGAGAGAGAGAGCAGGGACAGGAAAGAGTATGTAAGACATGTGAACAGAGTGGTCATACTTTAATAAAACAAATGCTCTCATCACTAAGAAATAAGGTAGAGTGGTCCTTAAGGTGTAATATGTATATTTTTCTTATGTTCTTATGTTTGCTAGATTAAACACAGCAGGTCTAAACTACAAATTCATACACCGCCTCCAAAGCAGCGGGAGCAACTTCTAAGAAAATTCTTCGAATCAGGACATTTTCTAAGAATTTCCCCTTAAAGTTAAGACTAGATCCTTGAAAATATGAAAGTAATTCACAAAGCATCATAGCCCTTAAGATAGCTTCTAAATTGTAAAACTGTAAGGAGCAGTGAAAAGGACTTTTAAGAGGCTTAAAATCTCAGAAAATAAGAATCTAAATTTTTACAGAAATCGTTTTTTTCCCCCCACCTCTAACTTCATGTGTGCGTTGTTGTGGCGGTGTGAGAAGATGCTCATGGTTGGTAAATGGATCGTGGATGTCGGTCCTCTTTGTGCGTCTGTCACACTCACACTGAGACTCTCTGTTCAGCACATCGCCCAACACACAACGCAGCTCCCACACCTGCTGAGACACTGAATCTCATTACTTTCAATTACATCACTGAGAGCTGCAATACCTGCCTGTTTAATATGGAGCATTTCTATCCCCCCTGTGGAGAGCAAACACACACGCACACACTGACACACACTCTGTGCCCCTGCTGAGAAACATAAACACTATTAGAGTCAATGGAGGGGGAGAGAATGAGGCTGATGTGATTGCTGTTGTTTGTATTGGTCCTCGGAGAGATGAACAATTAAAGCTCGCTCTGCTGTCGACACATGACGTGAACAGAAACATTAAAAACCTCCTGGATGTCGCCAAAAAGACTCCTCGGTGCACCCGAGACTTTTTGGGCGTCTTTCATTGATTGAAGAATCTAAACCGGTGGAATCATCGTCTTTTTGTGCTTCTTTGTCGATACAAAAGGGCGGAAAATTACTTTTTATTTTACAAAAATCTGACAAAGGAACATTTTGTAGCTCTTCTTTACATTGAGTTTAAAAGAGAAAGACCTCAGAAGAAGCTGTGAGTGTTTTCATTAGACTTTGTTTACTATAAATTAAAGCGACCTGTTCCCTTCTCCAACTCATGTTGAATTTAAATGCTAAACTTTTCTTTGATAATGAATAATGGTAAATGGAATTCTAGTCCTTTTCTAGTATTCTGACCACTCAAAGCGATTTTACACCGCATGACACACCTATGTAAAGTGACCATTAAAAGTAACTTAACCCATTCATACACCACCGACGAAGCAGCAGGAGCAACTTGGGGTTGAGTGTCTTGCCCGAAGACACTTTGGACATGTGGCTGCAGGAGCTAGGAATCGAACCCCGACCTTTTGGTTAGGGGACGACCGACTCTACCAACTGAGCCACAGCCATCCTAATTTATTCATCACAAATATGAATAAATGGTTTATATTGTTGAAACTACCACTTCTTATCAACTCATGTAGCCATGTTAGCTGCTGCTGGGATCAATTGCCAAGCTCATAAACAATAATAGATAGGGGGCGCTGGTGGCCTAGAGGTTAGTGCGTGCACACCATGTACATAGGCTTTGACATCGAGAGCAGACGGCCCAGGTTTGAATCCAACCTGTGGCTCCTTTCCTGCATGTCATTCCCCACTCTCTCTCTCTCTCTCTCTCTCTCTCTCTCCAGGGTTGTCATTGTTTGTGACAACTTCATTTTAATGTCTTTTTGGATGTTATTAATCACCGCAACTCAATATCTACATGTTCTTTTTCTGTGCCAATCCTTTAATTCAAAAATACTCTAAACCAATCAGAATCGAGCAGCCACTACGACTGACACTGTAACTAACACAAAATCGCTGTACCTCTGACAGCTGGCCACTTACTTCCTTTGATGAGGAATCATAAGAAGGATTCTGATATTTTCTATAATTATTCACAAGCAATTTAAGCCATTTTGCACGAGGGGGTCTTCACTAGAGTCCATGGCAAAGTCTGGGAACACCTGTATAAGTACTCTTAGTGTAACTTACTTAAAAGTATCCACCATACAATGTAAATACAGTATTAGAGATGGTCAGCAGGTGGTTTTAGTCCCGTTCTATCCGGGGGGGTTAGTTGGTTGTAGACACAGTGAGATGTAGAGGTAGATTAGCTTTAAAGGAAGTAGGAGACCCTCCTCTCTTCTTTTCTGCATGACGACATAATTACTCATGCTTCCTCCACCTGTCTGCTTCCACCTGTTTTTTTTTTCCACACACTGATTCTCTTCCCTTTCTCTCAACATGCTTTAAAAACTAACTGAATCCATCTCACTGTCGGTTTTTGTCTTCTTGCCTTTCTTCCTCCAGGTTCCCTCCATTACCCGGTCTGTGGGCCATGACAGGATCCTGGCTCTCCGACAGCAGACTCAGTTCCTGTGGGACGCCTACTTTTCTTCTGTAGCCAAAATCGTCTTAACTACTCTGGAGGTAAGCTCAGAGGGAAAAAAGAAATCGGCCTTATGGGATTTTTTTGGGATTTAGTTTTGTCAGGAGAGCTTTGTTCAATCAGCTGAGCTGCTACATCTTGTTTTATACTCCACATTGCCTCTGGCTAAATTCTACCTCCCGAACATCCACTTTTAGGAGAAATCCCCTCCAGCTGTCAGTTATACTATTTCTATTCTTTCATCCAAAGATGGTTAACTTACCTAGTTTTTTCCAGATATGCTATGCTCTATATTCTAACAGGAACTTCTCAGATCAATCTGCCTTCCAACGTTTCACACAGCGTATGAAGCTCAAAGAGGTTGCACCTCAAAAGTAGATATTTGTAGAGTGTGTTGTGAGGTCAGGTACTTTTTCGTTGGTTTTTCCAAGAACTGAATTATCCACCAAACCTTCAGATGTCAACAAAAATCCAGCTAATTCATCAAGATCTTGCAGGTCAACATTTCATTGACCGGCCTGATTTGTAAGTTATCAGGACTTCATTTTTAAGAGATTGATAAATCAGTTTCAGCTCAAGTTTTGAGTCTTTTTATTAAAAGCACATGGGCTTAGGGAGCGCGTCCCATGTGTTGAGACTCTCGTCTCGAGCGGTAGGCCCCGGGTTCGCCTCCACCCGTGGCCCCCCTCCACATGTCATTCCCTGTTCTCTCTCCTTGGTTTCCGACTCTATCCACTGTCCTATCTCTGCATTAAAGGCACGAAAAAGCCCCAAAAATAAATCTTTAAAAGCACATGGGCTTGAGAGATCTATTCAAAGATGCTCTAAAAACCATGGTTCTCAACTGGTGGGTTGGGACCCAAAAGTAGGTCAAGAAGTGGTTTTAAGTTGGTCACCAGGGTCACCATTTGTGGCAGAACGTGTTTGCTGCATTTTTATTTGAAAGAACATTTAGTAGGGTTGTTCATTCATACTCTGTAGGTGACAGTAAGTCTGATTACCTGCCATTAAACGAACGACAAGAAAAGAAGACAACTAGGATAAAGTTTGTTTTGATGCTGCCAGTTAGCATGGCGAAATGAAAATATGACATTAACAACGTGTTTTCTCACATTCAGGACAGTAACGCAGGAATGCAAAGTTTTTCATTACATACATTTTGGTTGAATGTTTTTTTTTTTTTTTTTCTCTGCTTCACCGATTGAGAACTGCTGCTCTAAAACATAATCCATCACTGGTGTGGTTTTAAATTGTCTCCTGCACATGCTGGTTTAGTTGCTAGAGGTTGGTTGCTTAATGGCATAAAATTAGTCAGTGACAGGTGACAGGTAAATGCAGTACTGCCCACCGACAAATATGATAAACCTCGAGAAAAGAAAAAGATAACTTGAGTCTGACTGGTAACAAGCATTTTGACGCCTGCAAAGTAACATATATAGTCTGTGAGGCAGAGTGAAGAGAAGAATGTGAAGGAGGTCTACACTGGCTGGAAGCACTCAGGTTTGAGATGTGTGTGCGTGTATCTGTGTGCATGCCTGTTCTTAAGACCAGAGAGCTCGCGGCTGGCTCGTTAAATGACCTCTCCAGCTCCAGTGCAGAAGATGAACTCGTCTCATCGAGCCTTCCTCCTCTCCTCTCCTCTCCTCTCCATTCTTTACTTCACCTCCTCACCGCCGTATAGTTCACGGACTATTTTCTTCTCTGTGACATCTGTGAATGCAGACTCAGAACATAATTATCCTCCTTGTTATCAACATCAGCATTAGTCAAATTACTTTGATCCCTGGCAGCACATCTAGTGGTTTCAACTCATTATCACCAATCCAACCGTTGTTAATATGTTTGGACCTTTTCAAAATCATAAGAAAAGAAACACAACACACACATAAAAGTAAGTTAAATTGAGGGCAGAACAAAATCATGATCAGGATTTGCTTTCCTTGCTTAGGCTTAACAGGAAACTCTAAAACATTTCTGTCATTCTGGCAAAGCACCCATTAAAAGTTATGTATATTTAAGTGTCTGCATGGTGCCTACCAACCATAAAGGGCTCAAGATTGCAGTGACTATGGAGCCATTCTAACAGATTGGGTGATAAACAGACCAGTCTCCCAAAACATTGATCTTGTAATGTATTTCCAGCTTAATAGTGCAAACGTTTCACTAAATTGCAGCACTTTTTCCTCCTAAAAATCACAGCGAAAACAAGACCTCAGTGACACCGCCAAACGCCTGATGCTAGCAGGGTGTGAAATTAGACAGAAGCCCACTGACAGCCATCCACTGCTGGCCAGATGTGCTAAAACCTTTAGAGCCAGCACGCCACCAGGCTAAATGGGTGAAATGAGGCGTAGTTGATAACTGTAGTGTCCCACATACTGAGCGGCTGACAGTTGGTGTCAGGAGGTGTGTGTTTGTGAGTGTGGGAGTTTGTGTGTGTGTGTGTGTGTGAAGAGCCGGCTGTAAGTGCCAAGCTAATTCTCCACAGATCAGTAGAGAGCTTTGGAGTCAGTGGGACAATAAAGAAAAGCAGGATGCCGACAAAAATAAGTCCATGCTTTGTTCTCATGATTCTGTCCGTTTAAATGAGAAAAGCTCTGAAAGTTATAATCACGAAGGCTTGTCTGTTAGCCTATGACCCATTTAGAGCCTTCTGCATTTGCAGTAATCTTTGGCATTATGAGCAGGGTGTTGGTATGATGGAGTAGGTGTACTGATTTTCTGCTCTATGCACTGATGAGGGACTGGACTGGGGATCTGGAATACCAAGGATTCTCCTAGTGGGCTGACACCCTTTGGGGGCCAATATATGTTAACTTCATTATGCTGAATTAAAGACCTTTAATTTGCTAACAACTGGCCCATAAAGCAGAGTCGGCTCATTGTCTCCAATAACAAAAGGCTGGCCAAATCCATTGACTGTATAAAGACAGCAGTCGCCATTTTTGAAATGCAACTCTAAATAACTTTCAGCCATGCCCCTAACTATGCAAATGTAGCACAATCCTAGCCTTAAAGCCTCTGTACACCCACACAGGTGTTAGTGATTTAGAGGCATGATTGGACCTCTCCTCAGGAATATGTGGGTGTGGCCAGGTTTGTTTGATTGACAGCTCCACTAACCTGTTAATTTTGCATTAAAAGAAACCTTTTGAGAAGGAGGACTTGATGGTCTTGTATTATCATGTTAGTGCTGAGATATTTTTACATGATATATTTTCACCTCAACTCCACCTATTTTCTACCCTTTTTCTGGTGTTATCAGACATAATTATTAAAATGTGTGGGGGTGCAGAAAATATATTGAAATCAAAATAGATTAGTTTAAAAATGAATAAAAGTTCACTCCCTATACAGTTTATGCCAATAAAGAAGTTAGCTATTGACACCAAACCCGTTTTTTTTGAACCAGGGTTTTTAATTCTCTCAAAAAGGACATTTTAAGACGAGACCTAATGGTGATTCTAAGTCTTTTGGAGCAAGTGGACACTTGAGGGACTGCAGTATTCTATTCACTTCATTGGCTTCATTTCAAAATTGTCCCAATTCTGTCTTTTACATGGCTGCTAAAGGACAGTAAATATGTTAATGCATCTGTTTACATTGCATTCAATCATTGCATTGAATTGAGGTTGTATATCTTTGAGTGAGTATGTGTTAAATATCTTGAAATAATGACAGCTTCTCCATATGTATGGAACCAATGATCACCAGGAAGTCAGTCCACCTATTCACTCGTCTATCGTGCTAAAAACTCAGTTTAATGGTGATTTGGAGCGATAGTATATTAGTCATATTTAAAAAGAGAGCTGCAAGGATGTTAACCTGGTAGATACCAAGATCGATTGTGAGGGATCTGGTTAAAAAATGTGAGGACTGTATTTTTTCTCAGTCCAGCCCTGGCACAGATTGTATTTGTATAGCCATAACTCATTCACTTGCAAACCAGACAGTTCAGAAGCCTTATTATTGGCAATTTTCCCATTGCCATCTTTGTGTTTCTGGAGCCATGAGTTTAAATTTTGGAAAGGAGTAAGGGTTGGCAAACACTATGTATTCTTCTAATGTGTTGAGGCAGTTCAGTTTAACACCTGAAAACAAACACCAAAACACCTTGAACAGTTTTAGAATGATTGTTTGTAGTTTGAAGATGAATCAGACATTTAAGATTAAGTGATCTTGACATTGCTAAAGGGGGCTGGGAATGGTAGAACAGAGCTGGTAGTAGAGTTGAAGGCTGAGTGGTTTTAATTGGACACACACAAAAGGCTGGTTGTGAAATTCATTTCAGGTAAATCTGCATAGGAGGCTGAACAATGGGATGGATTGTGGATATCTGAGCCGAGGGTTATTTACTGCAGTGGCTTGATTAGATGATGAAGTGCAGGTGTTCGGGTTCAGCAGCTGCAGGCGCTCAGGCGGAGGTGGAGAAGGCCACACCCAGAAACACAGAGAGTGTCAGACAAACATGAAACACAAAGGAGAGCAAGTGGAAAAACTGTAGACCAAAACAAAATGCTAACATTCACATACAGTAAGCACTAGATTGGTTTCTGCATCCATAACTCAAATGACACAATGCATCCTTCTTCTCTGGGCTTTCTTTTGTCTCCACATATAACATGATTCATTGCATGCAATTTTTAAAAATGCTTTTGTAAAATTTTTATTTATAATCAAAGTCTGACAAAACAATTATGAAATGGCACACAGAACACAATTAGAGACGAAGCACAAGTCGGAGAAACTGAGAAACAAAACACATTGAAATGTGAAAAAAAGATAACAAGAACAGTCAGAGGTTTTATCAGGAATCAAGATATTTTACAATATTTGTACAAAGGCTGGTTTAGTTTGAACACATTTCAGTGTTTGCTTCAAGTTTGTTAACTCCTTAATGAAGATTAAGAACAGTAGTCTTGTTTTCACTGAATTTACATTTGTTGATAAATTGTTTGGTGATAATTATCAGGGTATTTGACATCAATTAGTCTCAGTGCAGCTGCTGAGTTTACTTGGCCACAGGCACAACCGGGTAAGGACAGCTGGTGCCACAAACCGGAAATTCTCCATATCAGTCTGAGCAGTCTGTGCAGACTGCTTAATAACCAGTGGAGCTGCCACCTTCTGGCCAATAGAAAGACTGCTAATAAAGTAAAGTAAAAAATAAATATTTTAGATTTCTATTTAAATTGAATCTGACTAACAAAGCTGCTGTACCACTTGTCACCACAGGTGCCACCAAAGAGCCCAAAGCACATCTATGGAGTTGCTTCTTGAGAGTAAATTCAGAAAATTTCTATAACATTTCATTTTAGTTGAAGCGATGGAAATAAAAAAAAACTTATTTGATTGGATATTATTTGTTAAGAAAGTCATGAATGTGAAATAATATATGCTGGAACCTGTGTTAGTTGTGTTGCCCTTTTTATTGTAACTTCACTAAATCAATATATGAGAACTACATCAATAAATATATATAACATTGGGCCTGTTGCTCCATTCAAAACCTGCACTCTGTATCACCATTTTATTGAATTCTGAAATAATTACAAAATGACCCTGGCAGCATAAAAACAGAAACAGCCAGTCATGAGTTGTGTAATTTCAATATACTTGATGTCTAACACTGGTATTCACACGCTCTGGTATTTGCTTATCTCATGCTGACTTAATATATAACGCCTGTGTGGTGCAGAAACACTTCTTTGACGGAGTGTAAATAAAGCCATCACACCTCAGGGGCTCTCACATGGGGACCTGAATGCATCATCTGATTTGCTGACGAGTTGAAAGGGAACGAATAAATGATAAAGGAAGAAAACAGGAAAAACAAAACTAAAGGTTGTGAGCTTTCCTTTTGAGGAAGACATTTTTGCTCAATCCCACTAAAGCTTCTCATTTAGGGACTGACATGCCAGCCAGCTGCATGATCCTCCCTGTGCCTGTGTCATCTCCACCTTTCATCCCTCATAAAGGGAATACAAATGCAATTTATAGGGGTCTTTATGTTTGTGTTGCCATTGTTCCATCCACTCTTGCCCCTGCTGCTTACACTTTCGAATTTTATGTCCTTTTGTTGCAAATTTACACTTTGATACTAAAAATTATTTAGAAAGACCTTAAGGTGCATTATATCACAACTTGTTCTCCGATTCTTGTGCTGTTAGACCCGGGGTTCCACAGGGATCTGTCCTAGGTCCACTGTTGTTTTCACTCTACAGACACCACTGGGTCAGATTTTGCATTCTCCAGTGATTGCTTGCTATGAAGATGATTTGCAGATGAACATGCCAGTGGTCTTAAGAAATTGGTCTGATACAGATGTACGTTAGCCCTTTTAGCTGCTGTAAGGAGCATGTTGTCGTCAAACTTTTTGCTACATAACTCAGCAAAGATAGAAATTTTGGTTATTGGTCCGTTAAGACTGAGTCATCTGTATTAACATTTTACTCCCTTTGTGTGCATGGAAAGAGATGAGAATCTTGGATTATTTTTTTGTTTGATATACATAAAGGAATGGAAACATGGCCAAGATTAGATCGGTCCTCATCTACAGTAAGTGGTCTTATTTGGATGTCATGCTGTCTGGTTTGACTATAAGAAGAGTTTTGAAGGTCTGTAGAAAGTTCGGCATGCAGCCACTCATGTTATTTCCCTACCAGCAGAAATTATTTGTGTTTTTAAATCGCTTCTGATTTCCATTGGGTGATGTTGTTAGAGTTTGAAAGATTGGAACTTAACAGAGGCACACCGTTTAGGCAGCAATGGGCATGAACCAGTTGTTGTCTGACCTTTACATTCAAGTCGTAAGATGGCTTGGCTACTTTAACTGTTTTCAGTTTTTTATTAGTTTGGTGACATCAGTTAGTTTCGGGGAAGCTGTTGAGGAAGCTTGGCAACAGGGGCAGCTCCTAGAAAAAACAGGGTAAGGACGGAGACAGCTGGTGACGCAACAGGAAATGTTTCTGTATCAACCTGAGCAGTGTATGCAGCCTATGATCCATACAATATTTTTTACCCAGTAGCATTGCAAATATAACTTAAGTAAAGGAATGTACTTTCAAGCTTTTTAAGCCTCATAACATCATTTTAAAAAGCACAGCTATAACTCATAATGTGTATTCTTAAAGAAATCGCATTCCTTTTGCTGATCTTCAGATATTTGTGTATTTAGAGGTCCAGCAGAATATTGTAGGTGTGCCATTGATTTTCTTCTTTAAGCCCCCTGAAGACTTCTCAACATTTAACCTGCTAACCTGACCTGAGTTAACAAGCCTGATGGATGATATTAGCTAAGTAGCTAATGGACTCCTCGTGTTGGGAGCTAACTGATGTCTCTGGACTGTTTTGTGGAGTCATTCCAGCTTCTAGAGAGTTCCCCAAGCTTCACCTGAAGATAAAGAGCAGGCTATTTGTATTTCAGATATGAGCACGTGTGGAGGAGAAGTAGGGTAAAGAGGCCGTCAAGAGGGATGTTGTGTTAGTTTAAATGTTACATATGGTCTGTCCATGTGCTTATACAACCAATTCTGTGTGAATGGATTAGATATGACAGTGTGAAATGTAGTTGTTACTCAATAATTTTTTTCCGCTTCTTTATGCCTAAATTAATTTTTAAATTAAGTTGTAAAATGTAATTTAACAGATAATGTGTTTGTGTCTGTGCTGTGGAAACTATGTGTCTCCAAAGTTGGCAAGCAAAACAGCTCTCATCTATACTTTCTCTCCCTTCTGTTTACTTTCACCTCGATGTATTCCATCCCCTTTTTCTACATCTTTTTTTGTTTTGTACTTTAAAACTTTACACTCAGTTTGTTCCATTGGCTGTTCCCTATGTGTGTCTTTAAACACTTTCTTCCCTCTGTCCTCTTCTCACTGTCTTTTTCCGTCCAGATCATCCAGGACCGCGTGGACTCTCTGGTGTCCAGAAATCGTCTATTGTGGAATTCTCTACCTGGTGGTCTCTATGCACTCCCCCAGTACTCAGCTGACCCCGCCCAGTTCCCTTTTTACTATGCCATACTGGGTAAGTGCTCATCTGCTCATAATTTAAAAGTGCTAAAATGTTCTGAACACTTTTTTTAAACGTTTAAATGAAAGAAAAAGTGGCAAAGGGTTGCATTTATTAACGACTGAGAGCTCATTGTTAAAGGTGTTTTAAAACAAGTTTTTATTGTGAGTGAATGGGTGCAGACTTAATTATGATTTTGTCACAGGCTCAGAGTGACAAACTGTGAGGCTCAGACGGACACATGAGGCAAAGACATGCATGAGGTGAAAGGTTCACAAATCACAGCAGAGTCTAACATAAAAGCTCATGGATCACCAACGTTATTAGTTTGGAACACGATTTTGATTTTTCATCTCAATAAAGTTGTAATACTTTATTTCCTAACTTTTGCAGGATTGAACAGTTATTCATTATTTCTAAAATTAATGTAGGAAAATTGCATTTTCTTCTATCTAGCAATACATTTTCACCGGATATAATTATTAAAAATGTACCACCCTGTGGGCATTTCAAATATATATTGACCACCCAGATATTTCAGGAGAGGAAATGCATTGTGGGCCTTAGATCTTCTGGTCTCAAAGAGGAAAGCTTCTGACGATGCTGGCTCCTATAGGCTGGGCTCCAGCTGCAGTCAGGCTTTGTCGCTCTCCATGGTGCTGAAACATTCACAGGACTTTGATTATTTCAGGGTTCCGTTTTTAAAACAACTCATGAAGGTGATTAAAGATAGAGTCAGTAGCTATTTCTTAAAAAGTAAAATTTAGACTTATACAAAAGTAATGCTGCTCATTCATCACTTATGGGCCTCCATACATGTGTGGAGGTGACTGTGTCTGCAGAGACTCTGTCCTCTGCCTGGATTTAGAAGTGCATGTGTTTTGGTTGATTCTGGGCAGGGAGTGGATGCCTTTCCTTTTTTTATTTTTTTTTTTTATTGGTGATAAGGTGAACAAAATGAAACAAGAATATATAGACATGACATAGACATGACAACTAAAGCAAGAACAAACAAACAAAGACAAAAAAGTGGATGCCTTTCCCCCAAACACTGACAGCGTGTCGGTGAGTTTGGGAGTGGATACAAATCAGCAATTGGACGTGATTCAAACTGGTGAATATTGCGGACACAGCAAGGCGCAATGCCACAAAGATAACATTTATTACGCAGATTAAATTACTATTTTATTTGATTAATATTTTCATACTATATTTCTACTGCTATATTGTATATTTTGGAGCAACTGTAACAATTTCCCTCTGGGATTAAAAAGTATTTCTGATTCTGATTCTGAGAAACCATTGAACATTGGCCAAACACTGCTCCTTAGCTTGTACTAGCTTGCTAAATTATCAGCTTTCCATTACAATGAATGTAATATTTTCAGGTAGCTTGCAGTGTAGGTACAAGCAGTAAACATATACAAACATGTTTATATATTTGGTTTGACTTCCCCTCATTTCCTGTCTCTCTTGAGCGATCCTATATTTTGTAATAAAGGCAAAAAGGCCCTTCAATTGTAAAAGAAAAAAAGGTTAAATTTGTAGCCCACAGTTAAATGAGTCAAAACAAACCGATGCCATCTAAAATAAAGGAAGACAAAATGAATGTTTTTAAAGTGTCAATCTCCTCTTCTGTGATGCTCATGAATTACAGATGTGTTCTCCAGTCAGAGATCATCTGGCTGTCATACAAATAATATGTGATGTTTCTCTTTTTTGACAGTGCAATCAGGCAATGTCCAAGTTTTGTGTGTAAACTGCTGCTTCTCTCACCAAGAACCTGGAAGCTACAGCTGCAGAAGTACTGATTGAATTGCTAGTGAACAATGGAGTACATTTTGAGATAAACATGATGTTCAATGATATATGCAAATAAATATTTTAATTGCCCCCCGGGGACAAATAAAGTTTATTTAATTTAATTTAATAAAAAAAAAAATAAAGATACAAATCTAAAAGCTGCATGGGGGCGCACATGGCCTAGTGGTAAGGTTGTGCCCCAGGTATAGGAGGCTGTATTCCTCCAAGCTGGCAGCCCTGGATCAAGTCCGGCCTGTGGCTCCGCCTCCTTTCCCGTATCTCAATCCCTTCCTGTTTTAAACTCTTTCCACTGTCCTATCAAATCAAGGCAAAAGCCCAAAAATAAATCTAAAAAAACAACAAATTAAAAACTGCAGGCAAAGTAGAGGAGAAAGTGTGTGTGTGTGTGTGTGTGTGTGTGGTGTGTGTGTGTGTGTGTGTGTGTGTGTGTGTGTGTGTGTGTGTGTGTGTGTGTGTGTGTGTGTGTGTGTGTGTGTGTGTGTGTGTGTGTGTGTGTGTGTGTGTGTGTGTGTGTGTGTGTGTGTGGATCTGCATGCAGACAGGAGAGATTCTCCGCTGTAACACAGATCGATGTTGGTCTTCCTCGGTGGAGTTGTGGACTCCAGGGTGAGAGGGAACACAGAACGGAGGGATTGAGGGATCGGAGGGAAGATGGGGCAGTTTGCTTTATTCCACCGCCCGTAAATCACTATTTTAGCTGCTGCCATCTCGGCTGCTGCTGCTCGGGGAATAAGTTGTCGTTGATGCCGAGTGTGCGACCGTCTCACTCTGCCGCCTCCCCATAACTTTTGATGGCAAAGCAGTTGCAGCTTCTGCCTGATAGTTTGCAAAAGTTTGACGAACTCCTCGGATGTACTCTGGCCTCAGGAGCTGAGAGAACATCCAGATCTGTTGACTTCAGATATTTATTTTCTTAAGTTTGTGAAAGGTCACGTTGCTACATGCAGTGTAGAACTGCTTTAAGCGAAAAAAGAAAAAAATGTACAGTATTGTCTGTATCGTATGGATTTGTCGAGGTCGAGAGGGCACAACACTGATAAAAAAAAAGGTAGAGGAAGTAATGCCCTTTTACTTTATCAACTGTTTCCCTTTTTAGACAATAACCACATGAATGTATACACAACCTTTGCAGGGAATAAATACGAGTATTCACATCTCTAAGAGGGAGAGTTGTTTTACACAGCTCTCAGTAAAGCCCAGGGTCGTAACAGGATTCATTTACAGCCTGGGAGCTTCAGGAATCAGACCAGCCCACTAAACCATTGGACCCTTTTACTGGAGTAAAATTTTAGCCTTAGCTAGCTACCCACCAGACAGTCTAAGAAAAGGAGGGTGGTCACAGACATAAGCACAGTTTCAACATTATGAACAAACTAGAAGACTCAGCCTGGGTGTCTTTACACAATTTACAGCGGAAGTTGGAGGTAAGATGTTAAAGTATGCAACATCTGGTTGGTGATGCTTCCCGGTCTGCTCTCTCATTGGCTATTGCAGGTCTTCTATCAGAGACTGGAATCGTAAATATCAAACATGTTGATTTATGTTTTCAGTTGCTTAATGATTGAAGTAACACTGTGTGTGTCTCTGTCCATGGTGCTGAAAAATTCCCACCATGCAAATCCTCTCCCACACTCAGTGCCCAGACGACATTTTAAACAGTTTGAACTTTAAACATACATTTCAATTGTTTTTTTTTTTTTTATTGTGGTACAATATGAAAGATTTTGGAGGAATACTACACATCTCATACATTGCCTTCTTAAATTTGTTCACTCAGACATTAACCTCTTTAACAGATGCCAGTGTGCCTGCTGCTTTTCGAAAGGGTCAACGTGCTGGTACAGAATAAAACAATACTTCTTTAATGACACCTGGAGATGAAGTAAGAGAACGACAGGTACTAAACTAAAGGACGCTGTCAACACACCAGATCCAGCTTTTATCATCCTGATATTTCTACTGAGACAGTTTTAGATCCATTCACACATCGATTCCTGTGACTCTAACATCTCTCAGAGGACAGACTAATAATGACCCACATGTGACCTCCACCAATCTGAAGGTGTGAACGACCCCACAGAGGTCAAACACAGATCACAAGGCCACCAATCAACCTGGAGAAAAATATATCTAAGATGTCAAGCAAGTCTTTTTCCATTTATTTGTCACCTTGGATTGAAGACTATATGATAAAGGGTTGTCACAATACCAGATTTTTTAAACTTAGTTATGATACTGTAAATGGTTTTAATGCCTGTTTTGATATTGATCATCTTTTTACACTACCCACCGCTGCACTATTGTCTCATTTAGTCTTGTACTGTACATATAAGTCTTTGGTTGTTTTGTATTTAGTCTTGATATTCAATGTTTCACTTTTTGTACAGAGAGAGCACAGTTCACCAAAGTCAAAATCCTTACAGTATGTGTGTAAGCGAACCTGGCCAATAAAGCAGATTCTGATACCATGGCAACCATAATGAAAGTCCTAGGCATCTGGGTATATTCTTGTCTTTAATTACTAAAAAAAAAGCAGTCCAACTCCTGCACACTGTCTAAATTGCAAGAATACGTTGACAATGTTTGGGTACATTGCCAATGCATTTGCACAATTTTGACAGTGCTCTTTTGATTAACTTCAAATCTGGTTGAAGATCTGTAGTTTATTTATTTTTTACAGCTTTGGTACTTTTTGATTCTATCAATTATATAAATCACAGATATTGTGTCATCTTTGAATACCTTAATGTAATATTTAGACATATATTAAAGTTAAAATCCATTTATATATTGGACTACTGGGATGAAAACACTGCTTCTTCTGTAAATAGAAAATCTACTAAAGTGTTTGGTACTACACTTCCCAAAATGCATCTGGCCATTTTTTAGTGCCTCATAAAAGAGGAAATGTTAAATAAAATGTCTGATGTAGCATAATTATCCAATATCTTATACAGTATAACACAGAAACTATGAATATGAGAGTATGCTCATAAAACTAATCTGTGTAATTTAGCTCTTAAATCACAGATGAAAGAGTCTCTCTCTGTGACCCCCCCCCTCTCCCCAACAAAAGAAGACCTCATGCTTCCATAAATACCTTGCGACCCACCTGAGACGTCTGGTCAGGGGGCCGGCTGTCAGAGAGATGGATAGAGCAACGCTAAAGAGCACTCTGGCTCCACTTATCCTCGAGGATGTGTGCTCCCCTCCGTCCATATGCAGCCAACATTTGGCATGATGTCGCCTGCTATCGCTGCTGTCTTCAGTTACTGTGTTTATTTCTTCTTCCAACATTTGCACCGGTCTACAGACTGTTTATTCCAGGCTTCTCACGAACAGGCTTCCCACTTTAGACACGTAGAATTTAAATAGCACACGTTATTTTGAGTTTATCAACCATGGTTCAAATAAATGTGTATAAAATGTTTTATCAGAAACTTTCTGGTTTCCCTGGAATCACAATAAGCGCTAACTCAGCATGTAACAAAATGAGTTTGTAGATTGTGACTGTATGTATTAATTGTTCTTCATTCTTACACTTTTTTTTTTTACAATAAAATCAACTTTAGTATGCATTTAGATGTTTTGGTTTTTCATTATTTGTGCTCCTGCTCATTGTTTCCAAGTCCCATGAAGAGATTCCTTTACTATGGAATAAAGAAACATATTGAGGAAATGAAATCCACTGGTGGAAGAAAATGCTTTATAATATAATATTGATGCTTTTCTTTGGCATGGGCTGCCAGAGAGGGAAATCCATTTCCTAAACCCCATTTACCCGAATGCTCAGGATCATTTATCGAAGGTGGTAATTCAGTTTGAGTTTGGTTCCACTTCATAATTTTCTCCTTTTTGCTCCCGTTTGCTTCATTTTGTTTGCTGCTATAAAATACAAAAAAGGTTACTTACAAGAGCTGTTTCACTGTGAGTTTGTAGGAAATACAATTAGTCCTTTTTATGGGAACAAGTCAGCGTAATTCACAGTTCACTGAAAAGAGACACTCGATGCAAAGTGTTCACTCTTGGATTAGACATGTTTACTCACGCTCAGTCATGGACACCGGGGGTTTCTAATGTGTCGTAGAGATTAATGAATGGTTCAGCGCGGATCAACCCGTGTCCAGCTAACCGGTTATAAGATGTATCTCTACAGATCTGTGTTAAAAACCTAAATACAGTTTACCCAGAACAGCTGTTTGTTAAATATGTGTGTGTTGTCTTTGTGTATGTGTGTGTGCAGGTAAGAGCCCCCCGCAGCAGTTCACAGCTGTGATCCACACGGTGACTCCTCTGCAGTCTCAGATCTCCCCCGTGGTGAAGCTCATCATCGCTGTAGCCAAGTCCAAGTTCTGTGCACAGGTGGGGAAGTTTGTCTGCAGCTCGACAGGAACATAATACAAAAACCTGTTTCATATATAACCAGTCAAATGGAAAGTAATATATAGTAATGTTCCTATATATGACATCGTTCCATTAAATCACACTTCACGCCCCCCCCTGCTGTTTCTACTTTCATTAACTTCCTTTTTATACCTTTTCTATCTTCTTATTCTTCTCATAATGTTTACCTCCTGTTGTTGGATTCTGTCAAAGACGGTCAGAAAAAGTAGGATTAAAGGCCACTATTCGAGACAGAAGTTATCATATATAAAATACCAGAATCATGACTCTAAGGGGAAAAACATCACAATCCTGTTGTTGGATTCTGTCAAAGACGGTCAGAAAAAGTAGGATTAAAGGCCACTATTCGAGACAGAAGTTATCATATATAAAATACCAGAATCATGACTCTAAGGGGAAAAACATCACAATATTAGATTATTCTTGTACTCCACTGTACTGCACATTGGTGGTGAGAATAACCAGAGTTTGAAACAACTATCACTACAACTGTGTTGAATATATTGTGAGGGATGATAGTCTGAGTCTGCAGAGCTGCATGCTGGTTAAAGAAAATAAATTACTGCGCAGTTTATAGAGAGAGTCAGGAAAAACGTGCCCACACTATTTACCCTGGAAGTCACTTTATTATCATGTTCTAATTAGATGACTCCATCATACTTATATTACTTCTCTACATATTTTGTTATCACACTAACTAAAAAATGGACACAAATAAATCCCAACACATTTTGGAAGAAAAAACAGTTGGATAATTTGCACATTGCATTTAACATTTATTTAGACATCTTATCTCTTAATTATGAGATCCCTCACTCGTAGGTACGAGTTTAAATTGTTGTACATGTTCATGTACATGTATTAATTTTATTATAGCCTACATACTTCTGTTGGCCTCCATCAGTGAAACATCATGTGCATGATTTTTCCCAGGGATGCACATTTTGGTGCCTTTAATTTCATAAAAGAAAGCATCTCTGATTTCCGACTCTGTCCACTGCCGTCTCTACTATAAAGCCACAACACCCCCCCCCCAAAAAAAAAAAACTGTCTCAGAGATTAAATCAACTAAATGATAACAAGTTTCTGTAAAACTAATTAAAAAAGTGTATTGCTTGTGCAACATAAGCTTGATAACAATATATAAGATAAAGAGTGCAGATCTGTAACTATAGCAACGACAAGTGGATAAGAATTCAGCTGCCGGCTTTTTACATCCATTATGTATTAAAGGACTTCTTTTGGTGCTTTGCAAACAAGACATTTATCCCCCTTTTTAATAAAACACATTTTCTTAAAGGGTCTTTGACTCAAATTTGTTTAACATTTAACGAAAGTTGCACTTCTAAATTTCCCAAAACTTTAAGACACAAGAATTAACAGGATAACCATTTATTTGTATTTATTTAATGTGTATTTGTAATAGGGACAAGTATGGAGACGGTAAATTGTTGGGTCTACACACTACAGCATTTATAGCCTGAGCTAATTTGCTATACCCGTCGTAAAATACATAAAACTCAACAACAGATACACAGAAAACAGTACCAAGCAAGCACAATAATAAACAGAAAGAACAGCACAGGATACAAACTATTATACAATGAAACAAAGTAAAATAGGAACAGAACTTGGAACTTGTGGAGAGGTTAAACCATTAGAAATATCAAACACCTGTGCCTGAGGCCAGACTTTTACTGGCTCCCTTCCTGAAAACTGTCCCTGTTGGCATTAATATTAACAGTGTTTAATTTCTGGGTGGGGTGCCACCATCTGGTTCAGGACCATTGCCAAGCTGGGGGCTTTGAGGTGTTCTGACCCCTGTTTACCGCCTCCTCTGAGCCCAAAATTAATTTACAGGTGAAAGAAAAACAATCAGTAACAGTTTGTGTTTCCTCTGCAGTGAGAAAGTCAGAGTGAAGATTTAGACGCACACCTGCAAAGTGAACTCATACTTATTCTCTCGCCCAGCTCTCTTCATCTGGGATATTTTTGAGTTACAATCATTTGAGTGACACGATCTCTCCTGATGGTTTCCAACGACATATTTGCCAATAGTAATTAGTCTGTAGGCGTATTGATCTGTTGTGAAAAGTTGGCCCCAACCTCCATTGTTGAAAGATGAAGGCGATGCAAAAGGGCGAAAAACTGCAGAGCCCTGAGGGTCCGCTTCAAGCTGCCTGCAAAAGCAAAGAAATCCCTGTTAGGTTCCATATTTAAAAATGTCCAATTTCACTGCAGAAACAAAAAAAAAATACAGCCTGGTTAGAACAAAAGGCAAAAAGGCGGAGTTAGGTCGTCCAGATTGATTGCACGTGAGGTGGAGATGTCAAGTATGGCAGACGCCATCATTCGGCTTCCAAAGGCCTCTTCAGGAACCAGCAGGTCACAGAGACTATGTCCATGTTTTATGAAGTCTTTGTGTCATAGTGACAAAGATAAGAAGACCTATATTTTTATTCAACGTTGTTGTTTTAATGCTTTCTAATCGTTAAAGTGAATTTCCAGTGTGAACACAAACGTACCGTGCTTGGGTACTTGCTTGAGTCCGCTTGAAGAGAAGGTCCTGGGCATGATTCATGAGTACTCGAGAACAGTTTGCAAGAGATGTGAACACAACGGTGCTCAAACAAGAAAGTGGGCCGCTGTATGACGTAATTCTTGGCATTTCCTGTCCCTTCAAAACCCGTCATATCCGCGCAGCACAGGCTGATTTCTTCCTCTGAGCTGACGGTTGATGTGGAGGCAGGAAGAGGGTCGTTGTCGGCAGGGGTAATCTTCACACCATTTTCTAACTTAGTCATAGTCTCCTGATGAAAATGTCCTTTTATATTGAGTCAGATATTAGTCATTTGTTATTGATTTAATTTAGTCAATTAGTCACTGACTAAAATTGCACATCATTTTAGTTGAAGATATTTTAGTCAACAAAATCAGACGCAAGCTTTTATTTTGATGATCAGAAGCTCCAGGGGGGCGGGGCTTCACGGACCTGCAGGCTCCAGGCTGCACATTGTTGCACTCACCACACACACACACACACACACACACACACACACACACACACACACCTTTGATGAAGTCTGCTGTGGTTACAATGATTTTAGAACAGCTGACGGGGGTGTGTGATAATCCTCACTTGTAATGCAGTTTTCGTTTCATCACATTTTCCTCAATTAGATGATGAAGTAATATTATTCATCAAATCGTCAAATAGCGGAGTTTCGTCTCGTCATGGTCACAGTTGACTAATTTAAAAAGACCTTCGTCAACAAATATTTTCGTCATTTATTTCGTTGATGAGATTAACACTGGTTGTCGGTGTCTCACAAATAACAAAAACCTCCTCAGTTAGCGGGATGGACTAATCCGGTTGGCTGTGGACACCCAAGTAAGATCAGGGTTTACAGTACCAAACCGTACTGAAGCAAACTGCACGGCTTGGTGGCTACAGGGCTTATGATTGCAGCTTTGTGTGGCACTGTTGTCCAAGGACCTTAAAGTTTATTCCCCTCCAACTTGCGACAGAAACGATCCAACTCTTTAGTGCTCGACTTTCTTCAACTCGTGTCCTCCTTTCCTTTGATTCAGTTCTAATGCCGTTCTCCTCTGGGTTCAAAATGGACTTCTGATTGTCAGAGATGATACTTAGCTTTCAGAGCCTGGAGTTTGACTCTGTGAGAATTGTCCTCATTTACACTGTGACTGAGTAATGTTCTCTCTGCACATTTACAAGCACAAATGAAATCACTTATTTCACATTTCATTTTAAACAACTGTTCTCTCTAAAAATACTCTCCGACTCATTCTCCCTCGTTCTCTCACTGAACCCTACGTCTCCTCCCCCACACATGCCCACCTCTGTCTAATCCTGATGCTTTGTGCTCTAATTGCTTCTGTTTGTTTTTATGTAAATGTGCCCCCCCCCCCCCCACCTCCTCCTCTTAAAACACAACAACATCATGTCCACTGGTGGCAATAAAACGTGTCTTTGGGGCAGAATATGTGTGTGTGTTTACGAGCATGTTTGTGTGTGTGGTACCCAATATTGTCAGGCAGACGCTCTTCAGTGTATTTCCTTCCAATCACACTCGCTGTGTTTGTTCCCATTGCAGTAATTACACACACACGTGGCACACACAAACACACACACACAGAAGGTTCGTCATTTGCCACCACAGAGCGCAGCAGCAGAGTCGTTTGCTGTTGGTTATTGGAGTACGTAACACTGTAGTGCTGAGAGGAAACACACTATCAGAAAGCTTCTAATTCAACTTTCTCTTTCCTCAACTTCAGAACTCGACTTTTGCTTCTATGCTTTCTGAATTGGTTTTTACCATTTAATTTATTAACATGATTTAATATTCTTAAAAATGAATAAGATAACAACGGTAGCTGAGATAAAGGGCCAACTTGTGAAACCCTTGAAAGTGAAACAAAAGACAGTTTCTTTCTTTCTTTCTTTCCTCTCGTTGCTCCTGAGCTATTATGGCCAAAGAAACAAAAAAAACAATGAAGAAATAGGAAGAAATATGACATTTAGATGAACTGCACTTAAAAGGCTATTTTAAGTCAGGGAGGGTAAACCAAAAGGACCTGAAATTACCTCTCATCACCATAGGTAACGACACAGCCAATGAAACCAAGCGGCAACCTCTGGTGTTGAAAAATGAAGCCAATGCTGAAGTGTTACTAGTACTACTTGAGTGTCCACCTGAGGCAGTCTCTAAGAGACCCTGAAGTCACATACACATCCTATTCAAAAAATGTATTTCCAAATCTGAATTCTGACTTGTGCTTCCTTGGCCTCCTTTTCATGTTTACTCTTAAGCAATACGAATGATTTGATTACTGAAGAGGCTTCCTGACCCATGATCAAACACGCTTCAAATCCTTACCGTTAGATTCAGCACAGGAAATATAAGGATCAGATGAATCAGCTTCCTAACAGCTTTGCCGTGCTATAAGTGAAATTCTGCTCGTTCAGCATTTATGACCCACACGCCGTTGATATTATCAAAGCAGTGACCCCTGTACTCCCCACTATCACTGATGATATATCGACTTTATCGCACTTTCATCAATCACTTTGTAATATTGCTCGTCTTAGCCCCACAGCCACAATTTTCATATTGATAAGGTGATCTTCGACATTGATCCTGACTGCTTGCGTTTGCATTTAAATGAAACCAAAGGAGAGTGAACGTGAAGCGCTAAAAGGTCAAGTAGAACCACACGTTAAGACCTGAGTGAACAGAAGGTCAGGGCAAAATACTTCATGTACAGTTGATGGTCTTGTGTTGACCTCAAAATATCTTTTCAGTTTATTCTTTTCTAGACTTTCATTTTTTAGATGTATTTTTGCCTTTATTGTTGAGCCAGGACAATGGATAGAGTCGAACTGGGAGATAGAGAAGGTGAGGAATGACATGCAGGAAAAGAGCCACAGTCGGATTCGAACCCAGGACTACAGCCTCTGTACATGGGGTGTGCAAACTAACCACTAGACCACCAGCGCCCCTGAAAATACTTTCTTAAGGCTTTATAAAGTCTTTGAAAAAAAAGGCATTTTATGAAAAATAAATTCAGAAAATGCAGAACCGTAAAATAAATTAATACATATTTTGTTTTGTCTTACTAAACAAATAAAAATAAACTGGTTCATCAAGAGCCCCCCTCCCTTATTTATTTTCACGACAAGCATTTAGTTTGAACCAATAAACAGTTGCCTCTGAAGTTGTATTTGTGAAAGTAAATCCTCTCCCGAGTTCTTGTTTGGTCTCCACCAACTTTTAAGAAAATAATGTGGATCTCACTGGACAGACTCAGAGTTTTTTTTAATCATAATTGTTTAACTTTTTACTTCCTACAAGCAATAATGTAGCCTCATAAAGTTGTTTTGCTCTAGTTTTAAACAAACTGTTGCATATTTCCTATTCCAGCAAAGAAAGAGCAACATAAACGTCTCTCTCAAGTCGTATGTATGGATGTTCTTTTGCCTCTGTTTTTGGTCTCCAACAGCTCAACATGAGCATTTACTTGAGTCCTCTTTGTAGATGATGTCATCTTTTACTTCTATCTCTGTTTGTTGCTGAGGGCAAAGCAACAATTAAAACAGTAAAAGTTGCATCATAAAAAAAAAATAATAATAAGCTGAAAGACGCAGAGATTATGGAAATGAAGTCAGTTAATTATCAGTTTGCGTTTGTTTCATTTGGAACAATTTATTTTCACGATGAAAACTTAATTTATTCCATTCTAATTATATAGGTGTTATAGTGTTACTTTATATAAGATCTAGGCCTGCTTTTATAGCATATCTTTACTGCATACACATAAAGACGGATCATGTCTCACACCAATAATGCCAAGTAAAAAGTTCACTGTGAGATAAAGTGCTTCTACATAGTTTATGATGGTGTTGCAGACAGCTGTGTGATCTTTGACTTTTAACTGTAATTTACAGATATCGAGATATATCAGCGACATAAAGACAGACCTGGTATCTCTGAAGAAGTCCCCTTGAAGTAGCAGGAGTCATGGCAAATATAAAGCAGAGAGGGAAGGGTTGGAAGGAGAGCGACAAAGATAAGGTTCAGACCATTGAACTGCCAGAGATCTAATCTCTGTCCAGAGGCAGAAATGAATTGACACCAGCCAAAGGGGGGAGAGAGAGAGCGGGGGAAGGGGGTTTGGAGGTTACACTTGGACAGCTTTCAGACAGACATGTGTAACAGATAAGTTCAGCAATTAGGATGTCTCAAGGCCCGTGTCAACACTGGTGTTTATCTGACAACAACTGCTGATGGGTCATATTTTAGGTCACTAAATGCAATCTTTTAGTTTGACAAATTTCTGAGCGAAAAATATAAATTACTGTTTTTTTTTTGCTTTCTGGAAAGCATGAACACATAGCATCCGGTCCATTAAAGAGAAACTCCTGTTTACCTCTGACACTCTGGGACAAATTGCACTGGACTGAAAGTTATGATTTAAGTTCTGACAAATAATATTGAAGAAGAATAAGAGTTTTCAGAGATTCATGACAAGCTCGGTGATGCTGTTCCTGGGTACAGCAGTGTTTTGATGACTTTAAGGATGATGGGAAATGTACTTATCTCATCATGTTTTATTATGGGGATCTGCATACACTTCTTTTCACTCATACACAGGTGTAATAGTGTATGAAGACCATTAGTCCAGGATCCATGCAGTACATTAATATTCAAGAACATACATTTACTTCCAGGTGATTACCCTGTGATGGTGGTTTTCTGAAGGAAGCTGAGATACTGTTACACTTCTGTGAACACAATCCTGACTGAACTAAATACTTGTCTGCTGATTACAGCGCAATCATCCGAAGAAAATACAGCTCCTCACTTTTCACACTATTTAATAAAACATTTTTTTAGAGGATACGTGTACATTTCGTTTGATGTTCTGCTTAATTACTTGATGAATTAGCACTCGGCATCCATCGACTCATTAAGCTGAGATGGAAGTAGACATTAACCTTGCGGATATTTTTTTTGTGGTTTTACTTTGCAAAATAAGCCTCTTAGTATTTCCCCCCTGGTGGTGTGAATTCACTCCACTTTATGTGACATAGAACTAAACTTAAGGTGACAAACTCAGCAGGTCTTATAGTAAAACCTACAACATTTTGGAAGCAAAGTAAATAATCCAACCCTGGATGGACACTGAATGAGTGTTTCAGCCTTCCAGGCAAGCTGTGTGTTCTGGACACAAATACGGCCCCAAGTAATAACAGATGCTGGACATTTGCAATCCTTATTTGATGACGTATGAGAACAAATATCCTTATATAGGCAAAGTTGAAGGTCTTAATTTCATAAATACACAACAATCAATGTGAACTTCATGAGTTTTACAGTAAAAATGGTCTTGCAGTGAGGTATAAAAAAAAACAGATACAATGAAAATCATCAAAATTTACAAAAATATGTAGATTTGAAGAATCTGTAAAGTCAGTTGTGTAAGGTGAGGGTGAGTGGACATGTACTGTATAGATGATGTTCTGCAAAACCAAATATAATGAAACCATAAAGCAAAGATCCGGGGTCCGAGGAGTCTCCCCTGAGGTCTCTCAAAGACTGACTGCTGCTCTGATTTAAGCACGAGGCACGAGGTGTGTCTGATCTTCTAAATTCCTGCTCACCAGCTCTGTAGCACTGGATACAGAAAGCATGAAGTCCCAGTAAACTCATCGATGCAGAGGGGCCGTCCCCATGTGTGCTGGATCAATGCTGGATAAACGTGGACTCTGTAGTGCGAGTCCATCAGAGCTCACTCCATTCCTGTTTTGGCCCTTTTTCCGCATGTTTTCAGAGAGATGTTTGTTTGAAATCTTGGCTGATCCATCGCTTCTCAACAGCTAAATAATTCACACTTTAATTACAAGTCAATACCATCAGCAGCAGCCCTCTTTAAGCTAATGGATGGAGGTCTGCTAGGCTTTCTGTTAGGCATGGAATTGATAAAGACTCACACAGAATGAATGAAGTCGGCTCGTTGATCGATGGACACACAGCAGGGAGTGACACAAACACATCTTCTTAATGGTCATATATTTTGGCCACTTTTTGTGTTGTTAAATACTAGATATGTAAAAATGGCTTAGTGTCTTTACTTTTCTAAAACTCATGAATTTCAACCTTAATCCATGAAAAACTGCTGAATACAGATAAATTACTTTGATTCTTATTCTGATGAGGTAAACTTCAACTCTCTGTTTCTTTGAACATCTTCCTCTAGACTGAAATTTAAATTTAGAACACAAAGGTTGTTGGTTATCTCTTTCTTTCTTTTGTCTTTGTCCCTGCAGACCATGAGCAGTCGTTTCTTCCCCCACGACGTCATCCTCACCGACGCTGTTCTCAGCCTGGATGAAGACTCGGTTCTCTCGACAAATGAGGTGAGTCGCTGAGGAATTATCCAACCCATTGTCACAACGTTTACGAGCCGGTGAACTGAGACACTGATGCTTTATCAACAAAATGAGGTGAGACGGCCACAATCCCCAAGACACAAGACCACCAAAACATTGTTATCAGACATCTGGATTGGAATCTCAATTACTGAATGAATCACCGAACAGTGAAGACACAAATTCAACATGGCCGCCTGCTTAAAAAACATACTGAAGGTGAACTGTACCTTTTATTTTATTTTATTTTTTTACTTCAAATCATCTTTTAAATGTAGATATTTTATGGACTCACAGCTTAAACCCGGGACAAAAACAACGCCATCTTGTCACTTTGGGGCAAGGGTTTGATCTTCTAGTTTCTCTGTTTGGTTCCAGTTTTACGCTGTTTGACTTCAAGACTTTGCAAAGCTTTGACAGGTCCAGCATAATTCATTTTTAACGTTCAACATGACCAAGTTTTGAGGAAGAGTAATTCTAACTCAAGTATCCAAACTTGTATTTTTTTGCACACAATTCTTAAGTCTGTGAAACAAGAAGCTCCAGTTCTCATGGTTTGATGTCAGTGGCCAAAGGTGCTGATGTCCTAACGCAGTATTGATCCTTCCTGAAATGAGGCAGTCGGCCCACGCACGGTCATGAATACCATTCATTAGAAATAAATCGGCCCACTTTGCCAAACATTGCAACCGCCACTGAAGCCGGGTAGGTAAATGTGATCGGCCTTTAGAGGATCGTTTCAAATGCATCAGATGAAATCGAACTGATGACTCGGAAGTTTAGAGCAACAAACTTGGACAACAGATTTAAAATACAAAACAAAGAGTTATTATCACAGACGCCAGTATTTGTGGAAGTTATTTAAAATGTTGCTTTAAGACCCAGTCTTAATTTAAATAACTGCAACGTGTAGTGTTAAGAATGATACCACTACAAAGGTGTTGCTTTAATTTAACTGTACACCGAGGAAATGAAATAAAGGAATGTGTTGAGAAGACAAAGATTAAAAATGAAAGAAAATCTCAGAAATAAAAGATGAGATGGTTGAAATACAAAAAAGGAAAGAGAGAAAAAATAAATGGAAAATTGGAAAAAAAGGTAGAGACAGTGGAATATTAAAGGAGACCAAATGACAGAAATAAAGATAAAACCTCAAAGTCAGAAGAAATAAAGAACGGAGAGCAGAAGAGCGTATTGATGAGGGTGTAATGAAAAACAAAGTGCTCTCTCAGAGTCAGTCGTTTTACAAGAGCCATTACCTCTGTGTCTGTATCATTACACTGTCAAAACACAGAGCGGCTCTTTGATTAAAGTCTTAGTCGTTACTTAGAAGAGAGGATGAGAAACACCCCAGTGGTTTGGTACACGGACACTTGTTTTAGAACAAATGAGAAAGCAGTGAATTGTCCAAAGCATTGTCAGGAGGGGAAATAATGGTTCAGTTCCCCCTTTTTAATCAAAGACTGTGACATGATAGAAAAGTTACTAACCCGAATAACTCACATGGAACTACTGCGGTGAACGTTTGTATATAAAGTGGATGTCAAACTTTCACTTTCTACACCTACAAAACTCAAAACTTTTCTTTGACCACAAAACCCAAAATGTAAAGCACACGTTTGTTCTTTGTTCTGTTGATGAAAGATTTAAAAAACGTGCTCAAGTGTTTCATTTTCAAGAACTCATATCATCTAGAATCAGGATGATGCGCCATTAGTCTAGCTAGTTATATCTTGTGCGCTCCATGTACAGAGGCTACAGTCCATGTCGCAGCGGCTGTGGGTTTGAAACCGACCTCTGCCCTTTGCTGCATCATCCCCATAGACTGTAAATATTAATGGAAGAAGCCTGAGTGAGGTCAGCCTTCCCTGAGTGGCTTGTGCCATCTCTCTTCCCTCACGTATTGGCAGCAGCGGGATTCACTCGCAAAAAAAAAAAAAAACATGTACGATATCTCTTTGGGCGTCTGAGCAAAAGCTGAAGGCAGCACTGTCACTCTCCTTTAAGGACGCCTTAACTCCACAATATATTTACAGAGGGAATATTTGAATGTTGTATATCGTGCCTTTAAGATGCAGAACATAATTGTATCAGAAAGCGGTCTTTATTGGAGGAAACTCTTCAGTATTATGTCCTTTATGTTCTATCAGCACTGACCACATCCATATCTGAAACTTTAAGGAGAAATGAATGCAACACATTCAGACCAATCACACTTCTTCTTGTCTCCAAGTAGCCCCCCCAACATGTAGCTTAAATGTACTGTGTGTGATTATAAGATTAACACTTAGTCGTCTTGACGTTAATACACGCTCTGTAGACTTAATAAATATACTTTCAGATGTGGGTAAGCAAGCAGGATATACCCAGACTGAACAACGACAGCAGCGACACATCACTTCACATGTGTTAAAGCAATATCACTCCACCAACCGTAACCATGAGCAACCTTAAAGGCAAAGTGCATCATACTTTTGCAATTGTATGCCAGGTACACAATATAAATATAAATGAAGTTAGCCTTAAATAAAAACAAATGTACTTCCTCTCAACCAGAGAAAAATAAAGATCTATCAAATTAAACTAAAAATAAATAACTTCATCTTACACCATCGTACAATTTCACAGTAGGTGCTCGAGATGTTCCAAAGATTTGAAACATTAAATAGGAAGTGAAATGATCAGTACCAGCTCATGGGTGAAGGAGTCATTACAAACAGAAACCTGGTTTCCCTTCAGTACGTTAAAGATGCCATCATTAATCGATTGTGAGACCCGATGAGCCCCAGAGATCTGATATATCTTTAAACTCGGATGTTTTATTGACGAGGAGAAGGTCGATGCTCACCTCTGCTGCACGCTGACGGGATCACAATGACTCCTTAGGACCACGATCTGTGGCATAGCAATACGTGTGAGTTTGTACAACTCAAACTTTTCTGACCGTGTGGGCTGTTTCATGAAAGGAGAGGATGTAGAGGAAGATGTCGGAGAGAGAAAGAGAGAGGAATAACAACGGGGACGTGGAGTGAGTCTTTGCTGTGCTCACTAACCCGTTGCTCTAATTGCCCTTTTAATATGAAAAAGGGGGATTCATTGAAATGAGATGAAATATGTCAAGTGAGTGGAAATGTGTAAGAGAGAACGTTAGGCCTCCTTTTTTTTTTTTTCTCATATTATAATACCTCAGTGGAAGAACGGTTGTGCCAATTCCATAATAACATTGTTTCAGCTCATTAAATGTTCGATTGTTCCATGAAGAGAGATTAGTGGAAGGAATACGGCTGGAAAAAACCTGACAAAGCTTTTGTCTCTGTTTGGGCGGCCGAGCGTGCTGCTGCGATATGCCCTTTGGAAGACATTTTCAATATGCTGGATGTGGAGGTTTTACTGCGATGTGATCTTCACTTACTTAACTGACTGTCAAGGTTTTAGCAGGATGTGGGGATGTTTGTATTTATCAGTGTGCAGGTTTGTCAGTTTGAACTTTTATGATCGTAAATAGTGTTGCACACTTTTCTACCCCTTGGTCATTTGGATTACAGACAACTGTAACAAAGCAAGTGAATTCATTGAGTACCACATGTTCATGCATATAAAAGTGTTTTACACACATCATCAAGCAAAAACTTCAATACAAATATATGACATTTTAAGCCTAACAACCATTGATTTCCCCACTTTTAAATGTTCTTAACAACAAAAAATCACCCTATAGTACTAGCTGCCAATTTCCACATGTTCACTGTGTGTTCACTGCTCGCGGTGTGTTCACTGCCTCTCTAGTCAATAATTGTGTTTCCACAGCGAGCGCATCGGTCCGTCTCCGGGGCTTGATTTTTCTGTATGCAATGCAGCCAGAGAACATCTCTTCACCCATCTTCCTCATCTCTGCCATGTGGTGCCTTTGCCTGGCACGACCCCCCACCTTCTGGATTTAATCAGAACGGCAAGATATTTAAAAAAAAAAAATTAAACGAGGAACGGCTCTTTGAAAGGAACGGAGCAACTCCTTCAAAGAGCCGTAAATCTCATCATGAATTCATATCAAACAATCTGGACTTCCAATCATATCAATCTTCAGGAAGAAATTCAGAAAATGTGATGTCAGTCCACTATGGTGTCCGTTGACACTATAGCAAAAAGAAAACAGCTCAGAAATAAAGCCGAGGTTCTGATTCACCCTGTGGGATTTATTTCCACTCTGGTGACCTGCCTGCTGCTCTTTGTCATCACTTGTATGTCCGGTCGTAGTAGAGAAAGGGTATCCAGTTTGTTGTCATCGAAGGGAAGTTGACAGCTGATAATTTCCAGAGGTTGAAAGTTTCCTTGGAAAGAGTTTTCTCATAAATGTTCAAGAACACTTTGAGATGTAACCGGGTTATAGACGTAACCACACAGAGTCCCCCGGGGAGAGCTGCTGTAATTGAAAAGATGTTTTAAACGAGAAACCCGCGGTAGACTGCTTGTGGCTTCAGTTTTGGACCTTAGACCCCAGCTGGCTGTCGGGGATCAAGCTGAGATTGTTGGTGAAACTTCATCAAAGCCACAGCACTCCAAAAGCAGCTGGATACGAGCTCCGTTTAAGACACATTTTCCCTCACTTTTATCAGATGGAAGTTGACAGTGGAAGCGTCGCAGGGGGGAACCGCTTCAAAGAGGGGAGGAATAAAAATACATAAAACATACAGAGAGACTGAAGAAGACCGCATACAGAGAGAGATGACAAGTGACGCAACCCTCCTTCATCTTATGATGCTGAACATGTTAAAGCCAAATGTCCAGAGAGATTTGTTACAGATCTATTGCTGGATTGACCCCCTGCTCTTCAGATCAATTCTGGCCTTGTAGAATCTATTAGTATGTATCTCACACACACACACACACACACACCAGCCAGATATCACTCATATGTCATTAAATCCAACAGCTTGGTCAGTGGCCCGATGTGTAAAAGAATTCAGTTTGAGTTTCCACTAATGTCATTTCTTGCTGTGAAGTGCAGTGGAAGTTGTGTGGAGGTTAAAGGTTGTGGGTTGCTGAGCGGGGTGAATTTCTGGACCAATGAGTCATCAAACACATGAGTCATAGATTTCTTATAAATACTCGTGTTGTGACCAGCTCCTTTAGTGCCATACCAGTAAAGAGAGGGCCACACAGTTTCTTCCGTTTCTGTGACGTTTGCGCAGCGGAGCGCACCCATGACACATCACAGGAGAACTACAAGATCCCGCGGGAATAAAGAGAAAAACATGCAAACAACATGTTGCTTTGTCTTTCTGAGGATGCATTGTTGTTCATTCGGTTCCTGTTTTGACGTCATGTTGATAAAGTGATGAAAAATACGATCGCGGGTCCGTATATTGTGTTTTATTTTGAAATTGACCGGATGCTCTGTGCGTTTCCTTGTCTGACTTCCTGTCCGGGCTGTCATATTCTGTCCAGCTTGACGCGTGCCTGCAGCGCACTCTGGTGAAAATAGACTCGCTGCGTATTTGAAACGCAGCAGAGCGCAGCGCCGTTGGTGGCTCGCGCCGGAGACGGACCGCAGCGCGCCTGTGTGAACACAATGATAGACTAGAGTGGAAGCTAAGTACAACGTAGTGTGCGGCGCTGACGGACCGCGGCGTGCACGGAGTACGTGTGAATTGGGGTTAACTCTGATTTATTATGAAAAACTTGATCTCCAGGATATTGCATATTTATTATTAGCTGCCATACTCGAAGCTAGAGTGGGAGTGGTACCTGGAGCTTCAGCAGGCCAAGATAAGATATCTGACAAGATGGAACTGAGAATATGTTACACACACACACACGCACACGCACACGCACACGCGCACACACACACACACACACACACACACACACACAGACCAGTCAGCTTTCATCACTCTTTTGAATTCCTTCAAGAGCTTCTGTTTTCAAACGTAATGAAGACAGACAGATTATGAGCTCAGAGAATCCGATTTCTGTCACTCTGACTCGTTAACACACACACACAGACACACACCTACACACACACACACACACACACACACACACACACACACACACACACACACACAGATACGCATGTCAGATTGTATTATAAAGAGCCTTTTAATCTCTGAAGGCAAAAATTATAATTGCATGATATCATTAATCCTGTTAGCCCTGTTCTGAAGACATATGACATATCTCACATACAAACACATTAGGCACACACACACACACACACACACACACACACACACACACACACACACACACACACACACACACACACACGCACTACATAGGACGTCAGTTCTTTGGGGCTACACTGAGTATGTCAGCTCCAACCTTTCTCTCAGCTTAGAGCAGCACACTTTACAGTAATTGCTCACGCGATTCATGACAGAAGCCACAAGGTATCGCTAAAGAACATCCCTCTCTCCCCTCCCCCGACTCATCTCTCCACCTCTACTACACCAATAATTAATTTCCTCCCTCTGCTCCTGAGTTTATGTGTGTGTGAAGGCGTGTGTGTGTGTGTGTGTGTGTGTGTGTGTGTGTAACCAGGTATTTCATTATGTGCTGATCCCTTTATTCTCTGGAGTGTCTGCCTGCTTGTCTCTTTGGTGTCTTTGAATTCAAAGGAGGCACTTTAGCAGGTAGCTCGAGCCCCTTCAAGGACACCAGGTGCTCCACATCAAATTTCTTCTTTGTCTGCAACACGGGGAGCCGGACAGCCAAGGCAGCGTCAGACAAACGTGGAACAATGATGGATGGATGAAGGATGTGCATGCTCTTTGCACACAGTGTTTTTTTTACATATTCATACAGTTGTTAAGTGTTTAAATGTCCTTTTTGATTTGCGCAGTGCTCTTCATTAAAGCTTCTAGAGAAAGAGCAAAGGGGAATGCAGAGTGAAAGCAAACAAACACTAAGTAGCTCGAGGTGGCATAAAAAATCAAAAATAGGTTTAGTGCTGAGCAGGTTTCACTTACTTAAGGATTTTCTTTGGTGGTTCGTTATGTCACATTCACAAACTACGTAATACAAGAAAGGAAATAACCACTAAAAGAAAAAAATCCAGAATCTTAGATATAATACAGTCCATGTTTCAAAATGAAAATCCAGCATTTTATGGTGTGCTGATGGCAGAGTGGTGAGGTGGTGCCCCGTGTATGCAGGCTGTAGTCCTCAGAGCGGCCGGCCCAGGTTCGATATCCGACCAGTTTTTTCATTCCCACATGTCATTCCCAAGCGACAACCTGCGGTTTTTGAAGAATTAAGTGCAACTGAAGTGTAAAATAGCCTGCAATAGGCTGGCTGCAATAGGCTGGCTGCAGAAGCACCGGAAGTCACATACACACCCATTCAAAAAATCAGAAAATAACATGTTTACATCCTGGTTCTTTAAATGGTTCTGGTCTGATTAGCTCATGTCTCGATCAGCACTCACTGTACTCTTGATGACTCATCCGTTTATGAATGATAAGTGTTACTTACAATAAGGTGCATAGTTTACCTGATTGACAGGTATGAGCGATGTTACGGTTTTCAGAAGACACACCTCAGCTCCAGCTCTCAGCATGTCGTTAGGTTGACTGAAAGTTAGGATGAGACGTTTTTAAGCCTTCCAATAAACCGTTACATCGTACCCATCAGGTCAGCTACGCGCCTGACTATGGATAATACCTGACTTCCCGTGCACCTGCAGCCAGCATCAAGCGAACACTCGATGACCTGCAGGTTTTTGCACTTCCACATTGGCTTCATTTTGCAAAATGGGAAGTTGCTGCTTGGTCGCCATCTCATCCTCTCCCGTCTACCATTTCCTCTTTCCTCCATTTTTCTATCTTTTGCACCTCATCAATTTCCTCCTCCTTTATCATCGTCTTTATTTCCCCCCTGGAGTTCCCCTTCTTCTTCTCTCTCCTCACCTTCTTTCTGTACCCTCTGATCCCACAGGTGGATTTTGCCTTTCTCGTTTGGCAAAGCTTTCCAGAGCGTATCGTTGGTTATCCTGCGAGGAGCCACTACTGGGACGGCTCCAGATCCCGCTGGGGCTACACCTCCAAGTGGACCAATGACTACTCCATGGTTCTCACAGGGGCAGCTTTCTACCACAGGTACTCCAACCTGATCACCTACCGATCACTGAAGCTTTGCTGCATGGATTTACTGTTCATAAAAAAAAAGCTTTTATCAGTTGTAATTATATGAAAACTTTAAAAAAGAACAAAAATGGCATGAACATTTATTTTAACACAAAGGGACTTGAATGAGAATCTGTTATGTTTCTGGAAATGCACAATGGATACATTTTAAAAGTGATTCATTAATCTGCAAATTCCAACAAGAATTTTTAGCTAACCCTTGAGCAATGAGAAGACTTTTTTTGTTGTCCAAAACATTTCAGCAGAAGGTCAAGCGAATCCTCTTTCTGTTGAGGGGGAACGAGGAAAGGTTGCATAAAAAATGTGTACAAGCCCACTTAGTTGACCTGTGTTGGTTTGGCTGTAGGTCATGTTGGTGAGTTTGCACTTTGCTATTTTTGAGCATATTAATCATGTGTTTCTTGGCAATTTATTTACACAGAGAAACAGATGTCAGTACACTTTACACTGATTCAACTATACGTAATATATAAGTTTGGATGAATATATGACTATAGATATGAAAAGCTTTGTGGCCCCGTGGGGGAATTTGCATTGCACCAAAGCCTAAAAACACAAGTGACAAAATACATCACCAACTATACAGGACAGCACTTAAAATAACCAACACAATCTGCACAGCTACATGTTAGGGATTTAAAGTAGCAAGTTCAATAAAGTTCATACTGTATTTAGAGCTTGTTGAGCAGCTGAATGCTGCGTGGTACAAAAGATGTGCTGCCTCTTTGAATCCACATCCTGGGCACCCTGAAGCCATACTCAGACCAGAGAGGGTGCAGTGGGTCAGCTGTAATTTTGCTAATATGTTAAATTAACGCAATAACTCAAGATTAGAGCAGTATATTACATGCATGCTGTTCAAAAATGTGTAATATCATCATCATCAACCTTTATTTAAGTTCTCTGAGAGATCATTGGGGGGGACCCTCGTTTACAATGATTCCAAGAATATATACATAAATAATAAACAAAACGAGTTAAAACTACTAGGAAATAAAATCAATAAAAGAGCAATAAGAACAATGAAATAAAAATAATTTAAAAGGCTTGAAATTACAACAATAATTAGTCAACATTAAAATCAAATTAAACAGTTACAGGCAGGTATTGGGCGTTTAAGAAGAATATTTCTGAAGTGTCCAAAAGGAATATTTTCAGGTCCTGTTGTAAAATATTCCAAGAGTTTGAAGCATTAACGCTAGAAGCAGTTTTCCCCGGGTCAGTCCTGGCATGAGGAACCCGGAGAACCAGTCTCTCACTTGAGCGAGTTAAAAATGGACCGGGGTTCAGCTGTAACAAGGAGGTGATATATGATGGTAGCATTTCTATCATTTATCTATAAGAAAGGTTTTACAGCTCTAATTTTTGTGGTGTAGTTTTTCTGAATCATTCTCAGTATGATGAGTTTTACCTCCACATAAATACGTAAATCTCTTCTCCTAAAAGATACAAATCCACATTAACAGACATGAAACAACAGTGACATTTCATGTTTATTATGTAGTTAATGGATAAATCTCCATCTCTCTTTGGTCGTACAAAGTGATTTAAAAACAAACACAAATCTGGGTTTGAAGAGGAAAATGAAAACTCAAAGTATTTAGCAGAGCGACACATTTCACAGAGCGCGAGTCAGTGAGGGGATTTGAAGCATCTTGTCAGCCAGATAAACAGTTCCCTCATTGTTCTATTGTTAGGATGCTCAGTGCAACTCTTTAGTCCTTTGTTATTTAAAATCTCAAATGCCAAAGAACGGAAGAAGAAATGAGTCAGCGAGTGAGAGGGAAAGGTGGGTAATGTGTGTGTGTGTGCGTGTGTGTGTGTGTGCGTGTGTGTGTGTGCGTGTGTGCAGACCTTGGCAGGGAGGGATCAGATGACAGTGATCTAGTGCTCCCATGCTGCTGAGAGTGCAACACAGCCGCCATACAAAATAGAAAAGAACCGAACATAAGAATGGAAGTTAATATGCAAATAGGCTAATCCTTCGTTTTCCTTTAATGTGTGTGTGTGCGTGCGTGCGTGTGTGTGTGTGTGTGTGTGTGTGTGTGTGCGCGTGCATGCGTGCGTGTGTGTGTTTCAGATATTATCACTACCTGTACACACACTACATCCCATCCAGCCTGCTGACCACAGTGGATCGCATCTCCAATTGTGAAGACATCCTGATGAACTTCCTGGTTTCAGCCGTCACCAAGCAGCCGCCAATCAAAGTCACGCAGAAGAAGCAGTACAAGGAAACCATGATGAGCCAGGTAGAGCTTTATCTTCAAGTGTGTTATTATTTTAAAGATCAGCAGAACAGCATGTGAGTATGACATTTTGATGCTTTATGTTTTTTCCTGCTTTGTGGTAGCGTTCGGGTAACTTCAGAAAACATGAAGAAATACACAAATGTGAGCAAGTTATTGACCACAAAGATTTAAAGACAGAAGTGTTTTGTACTGCTAAATCAACTAATATCCTGGGAATACTGTGGAAACAAGTTTTTTTATCTTTATTTTGTGCATATAAAAACCTTTAATCCTGCTACATTACCATTGTTTGGACCGATCGCCATTACTATTTGCGGTAACCAGTAACGAATTAACAACTTTTATTTCTGACATCTAAAAGCACTTCTTACTTGTTACTTTATGTGAAACAGCTGACAGCAAGCGGGCAAGGTTACGCTAACGTTAGCACAGTAGTGTCGCGTTCTGTACACAAACACAGTCAGGTGATCATTTAGGCGCGAGCATTTTGTCTCGTTAATACCGAAAACAAAATTCCCTGCTCTCGTTAAACGACAAGAATATAGCAGTGAGTTGCCATCTAAGTGCAGGAAGGAAATCTTCTCTCACAAGAACGACGCACCGAGATAAAAACAACGACACGCTTCCACTAAACTAGCGGTCAGAGAGCGCGTTGTTGATGACACCGGAGACCCAGGTGCAGCTCAAGTTAGCTCGGCAGATCAAGGAGGAGACACTCCGTACAAACAGCCGGCTTGATTTGAAACACTGCCTTCTCCACAATCTGTAAGCTGGACCAGTAGACTGATAGAGAGGTATCATGCTTCATATCAACTGTTGAGTGTGAATGTATTCAGTATAATACCCACAAATTGAAAATGACCACAGTCTTATTTGAAAAGTTGGAGTTGTCCCAGCTCAATTCTGCCACAGCAACTCTAAATAATGAGTATGAAGATTAAAGCAGAAAAAGTAACGCTGCATTAACTCTGTGAGTAACTAGTTACTTATTTTCAGAAACGTGCCCAACACTGTTCATCACTGATGTCAATATCCCAAAATAGTATTTTGGAAGTGACTCATTTCGGATGTTTGCTCTCGATGAAGAACTACAAGATACAATCAGAAGACTTTTTTTATCAGATGTTGCTCCACAGCACTCCTAGTGGTCGAATCATCCATTGTGCCCCTTTAATAGTGCAGCACAATGGTTTAAAGAGACTGAAAGGTTGTGCGTTGTAAAGAAAAAATTTGAATCCCCCCCTGAGTTATTTTTTAAGAAAAGAAGATGGAAACAGATTCACCTTGCTGTGTTGAATGAGCAATGGAGGAGAAGCCTCAGGGTGCATACAACCCTGACCTTCTCTTCGTGCCATCCCTATGTATGTGCATCTATGTGTGTGTGTGTGTGTGTGTGTGTGTGTGTGTGTGTGTGTGTGTGTGTGTGTGTGTGTGTGTGTGTGTGTGTGTGTGTGTGTTTTTCTCGTGTGGCCAGCCTAATGCCACGCACTGATTGATGGCCTGACCACAGGCAGGACGATGACTCGGCAGTATGGACTCAGTGATTAATGTCTTAATTGTGAAGGCAGCACGGCAAACTCAGATTTACTCCCCCTTTCCTTCCAATTTCATTCCATTATTTTTCTGTCTTTCTGTCCTTTGTCTCTTTCTGTCTTGTCTTCTTGTGTCTTTTTTATGTTTTTGTCTATTTGTCTTTTCTTGTCTTTGTCTTTCTGTCTTGTCTCTCAGTCTCTCTGTCTTTCTTTATCTCATTATGATGTCATTTTGTCGGTTTTTCCCTGTTATTTTGTCTATAATTTTCCTCTTTTTCATTGTCTTTTGTCCCTCCTTATCGTTTTTCACCCCGACTGGTTGCAGTGCTTGGCCCATTAGCAGACAAGCATTTAACATTTTTTAGAAAGAAAAAGTGTAGATTCAGAAACTCAAAGTCAAAACTGATATTTGCTGTCTTATTTACATTTTCAAGAGCAGAGATATTTGAGTCAAAAACTAGTTTTTCATAGTGTCATTTTTCTGCCTGATGCTCAGTCTCCCCCGCTGACGCCCTCCTGCAGCACTCCAGATGAATCTCCTCTAGCTCCCCGCCCTCATGCAACAGCTTATCAAAATGGGCTGCTGCCCTCCACCTTGCCCTCAGCTGCCCCTTCGCCATCTCATCCACCAGCAGCAGCCACCCAAGGGTCCGCCCCTCCCCTTCCTGCTGCCCATGTCTGATAATAAGGCGAGGACACACGGGGCAGCAGGAGACGATAGCATCATGGAGTCGTCCAGCCGCTATTCAGTCAGAACAACAACCGCATGCTTCCAAAAAACTGAATAATCTCATATCTATATCTATATCTGATCTTCTGGCACTGGAACTTTCCCTTCTTAGGGTCTTTGTCCAGTCGGCTGCTTTTTTTTTCTCTGAGCACCGCCGTCTTTTTCAGTTGTTCCCAATGAGGAGGGAGCATATATTTTTGCAGAATGCCTGGAGGAAAAGCGCAGCGCCCGGCGTCTCTCTTAACAAAGACCTCCGACTTTTTTAGTCGCAGAAACTTCGAGCAGTTCTTCTAAAAAATCTCAGAAAGTTGCTGGTGTCGTCACCATCAGCCTGTATTGACATTTATCATGTAGAACCTCTCCCTGAACAATATGTCAGACAGGCAAGAATATAACAGAGAAGAGCTCTCACAAAGAAAGAACATTTTTAAGGGTTAGCGTGTCTGCAATCTGTCTAAATTTAACAGCAGCCTCTGTGGAGTGGATGATGTCATGCATGTACCTACATGCTTCATGCTCTACAGCTGTGAGATCGAGCAGAAACAGCAGGACATCACCAAACACATGTCTAGTATTTAGTATCTTTCGCTTCATGCCCATAGTGCAAAAACAATGTCAAACAAAAAGATGAAATATCAAACAGGTTGGATTATTGAACGTAAAAGGACAGTTCTTATATCATTTAAAGGCAGAGGTCAACGATATCCCTGAAATAAAAGCAGGGTTTCCTTTCACTAAATCCAAAAACATATCATCCCAGTGCTTTCCAGTCTCCTACACCTGTCATAGAATTATAATGTCATCAAGCCTATCCTGATTGGAGGACAGGGTCATTGAGATACAGCTGGTTCTGGTTCTGTTGATTTGGATAAAAAAAACTGCATTCCTCCGTTTATAAATGAGGAGCAGCAGTTGAGTTTTACTCTGTTTAAATCCTCACATCCTTATCCTGTCTCATTGACGTACTGTAGATGTTTGAGTCAACTTAGTTTGTTGTGCCAGGCTCAAAATCTTAAACAGAAAGTCAATAAAACAAAAGCAGCTGATGTCAAATAAGCTGCAACAAGAACGGCTAATACCAGTACAAAGTTTGTGATCAGCTGCTACACTCCCAGGTAATAAGTAGACCCAGCTGCACTGGCAGAGCGAGTTAGTTTGGACCAACACACTGACTGACCAACAGAGCAAGTTATTCCACCCGGCAAGATGGAGGAGACAAAGTGTCAAAGCAGGCTGTACTTCCTAACAACATGGGAAAGACACTTAGTTGTATTTTTTTTTGTCAGTTTGACTTGCTGCGCCGCTGTTTTTGCGGAGTTGTCAACAACTCCTGGAGGGATTCCCGCGGAGTGAACCAGCTGCTCAGGTCGACCAGCTCTTGTCAGTATGATGGACCTGGATTGTCTGGAGGAGCAGGTGGTGGAAACAAATAGCAGGAAATACAGTATGAGCAACACCTCCTGCCATGTAATGACAAGCTGTCCACGATAAGGAGCTGCTTCACCAGCATGGATGCACTCCCACGACCCTGAACCGTCAGCCTGCAGACATATGGGACATCGTTTGGCTGTATTAGCTCGCCTACAAGGGGGCCATCATCAGAGCACAAGACGCTGTGTAAATGAGTCAGAAGAAGGACTCAGACAGAAAATCACACCAGCCCTAACAATTGGCAATTATACCACAGACAACATAGTATCTTGCGCTGTCCCGAGATGAATCCATAATTACAGCGGGAACTCCTTTGTCTTTGCACTCCAGCTGTCCGGCTGTGCTGCGCTCTGAGCCTGTTGGTGCACCAACCAATGCACACGCATCTGGTGGAAGTTAAAGAATATATTTTATCCTCCTTTTCCACTTTTTCAAACAGTCCCCCTGTGGTCTAAATGAAACATCTGTGCTGTGCTCTGGTCAAAATATAACATGAATCAAGCACCAGAGGAGGTTTGTGACCCTGTATAAGCCAGCTCTCTCAGAACGCTCCGTTTTGGCGTGTGTGTCTCTTTAAATGCAATGAACATTTTGTGGGTCAGTAGACACTCAGGTTACCCAAATAAATGTTCAAAAACACTGTAGAAGTGGATTTTTCATAACATGTCCTCTTTGATTTGTCGCTGCTACAACAAGCTTCTTAAAACAAACCATTTAAGATGTGGATATCTTTGCTGATTGACGTTCTTGAACGAGGCATTTACAATGTTTTTATGTTGAATTCAGTTGCTCATTTTTGACTGGAGTTTTTCTTCTACTGCACCACTTTCTAATTTACTGTAAATTTACTTCTAAGAGCTATGTTTATATATTCCTTAGACCTTCAAATTCATTTATTCTCTCCCCCTCTCTCTCTCTCTCTCTCCTGTCTATCTCTGTTTCTCCCCTCTCCAAACAAACAAACAAGGGATCCAAGTCGTCTCGGTGGGCCGACCCTGACCACTTTGCCCAGCGACAGACCTGCATGAACGCTTTCAGCCACTGGTTGGGTTTCATGCCTCTGGTGCACTCCCAGATGAGGCTGGACCCTGTGCTGTTCAGGGACCAGGTTTCCATCCTGAGGAAGAAATATAGGGACATCGAGAGGCTGTGAATGCACAAGGAAACACACCGAATCACCGGCGGAGAGTATGAGTTTGTGTTTCCTTCCTCGGAAAGGCCGTGACAAGACTACACACGGGTGAATGTGAACATTTGTGAGGCTATAAAGGAAAAGAAACACATGCACCGGGAATGAAAGTGATAAAACACTGATAACTTTTAACTGCAGATTACTACAACAACAAAAGAAAATCCTGTATGTAACTGCAGAATGACAGAACAGGGAGTGACGGTGAATCGGACAATACAAATAAATCAAAGCATGGACAAATGTGCAAAAAGAGCTGGACACATTAACACATTCTACAACAACAAACTGTGTGTTTGCATGGTTTGAACTCTGCAAGGACCTGCACAAGAATAAAAAAATCACAGATCTATCTATATTGATGAAGTTGAGGGTTGGAAATAAAGAAGTATACAGTATACGTTTAAAGGCTGCAGAGATTTATGGATTACAGGCTGTATTTACGTGTCAAACGACGCACTCCTTGAGGTGATGGATGTACAATTTAGACACATTCTGGACAAACTTTAGATTCTGGGTCAGTGCCACATAAACGCTGCCACCACAAAAAGACCTGAAGACGATGGCGACACGCCTCTTGTACACTACTGTAGATTTTCAGCAGCAGTTCCTATCTGTATGAAGAAAATGAAAAAAATAAATAAAGAGATGTTATGTTACGAGACAAGACGTCAGATCTCAACCATATTTCTTGCTTCCTACCTCACAGTCTCTGTGTGTCTATTATTCATTTTTACTTAATCTTACAGACTTCCCCTACAGGTTTTAAAATCCTTAACTTTCCAAGAGATGTTTTGCATTTTTTAAATGATTTGTTTTTCATATGTGCACTTTGATTGGAGGCGGGCTTTATGACCTATATTGCAGGCAGCCAGTAGGGGGATTTCCAAATATGCTGACTTCACTTCTGGGAGATGTCACATCGTCCATCTTTTTATACAGTTGATGGATTTAACCTGCTGTTCAACAATGTTTTGGACCAAAATACAACCAGTGGGAGTCAATAGCCTGGAGACAAGGTCATGATCCCTCACTGGCTTCCCACCAAGAACACTGCCACCGACACACACAGCCAACGCTGACGTCTCGCCGGTCATAGGTGAGTTTTTCATTATTTTTTAATAACTTTTTGCTGTGAAAGATCTTTACTTAAATTCTCTATCAACTTTTTCACTTTCAATCATTGCCCTTGTAAAGTGAACATCAGGCTTGTGAGGGAAGTTGTGGGTTATGGATGTTTAGAGTAATATGATATATTTTGTGTTGTTGTATTTTCAGTGTCCTAAAAGTCTTGAAATGTGCCAAACTATGCGTTCATAATGAGAACTACTCGTTCTCACTCGTTTCGTGAGAAACAGCCAGTATCAAAACAGTCGTCTTTCAGACGTGTTAATCTTCTCCTTTCCAGTTTTAGCTTAAACCTTGAGACAAACATTGTTTCAATCTTGGTGAGACATTCAACAAGAAGAAAAACAATCCTTAACTTCAGTTTATTTTCAGTCTTCATTTGAAATTTCAAACCATGTTGCAGTGCTCATCAGCAGTTTCCTTAGTTGCCATGGAAATGTTAACAAACAAAAAAAGATTGGTGCTGATGTTGAGGTGAGCTTTCAATATTGATCTCAATGTCTCAAATGTATTTTTTACAAAGCAATCACAACCCAAGAAGCATCAGACTGAAGTAAGATTCTCCAGCACATCACCCAGGTCATAAAAAAACCATAAAAGTAGACTTCATTTTAAAAAGTTAGAAGCTGCATCCAAGGCAAATGAATACAAGTTTTGGATTCCATACATTTTGGAAGTACTCAGGAGTTTATTTCATAAACGCTGTAAGATATACAGTATTTATATATAAATGTATATGCAGACTTCAGCTCTTTGATATCAATATGTGGGGGGTTTTCCCCATGGCCATAAAGGGGCCAATCAACCATCTCTCCATGAAGCTCCCTCATCATGCCTGCCACTCTTCATCTAGCTTTCATTGATTTTCTTCCCCCCTCACCTTTCTTCTCCTCCCTCCTCTCACAAACAATAATTATAATCATATCACATGATCTTACTCTCTAGGTCTCCCCACACACCAGTACTCCATATGACCCCTTTATTTCTCTTCAGGGGGCCTCCCTCGTTCCCTCTCTCATAACCAATAACCAGGATCTCTTTATCATCTAAACGTCATCCCTCTTTGAAATTACGGGACTCTCTGAACTACGATCTCTTGAGACCTCAGCCATGTTTAGTCCTCATCTTTATATAATGTAAATGATGACATCACAACTACATTTATGTCACATGATTTGATGATATATTCTGCACACATATAACACACAGATATGCTCTGGAAAAGAAAACGTCAGTCTTTATAATTAAATTTAATGTGCAGTACCATGTTTAATTGTCCTTAGAGACTAGCCTGTTACATATTTGGGAAGCATTGGCATGTACAGTAACCTTAAATAAATGCATGCCCTGTATATTGCACCAGGTTTTAACCTGAGTATTTTATAAGGACTTCAGTGTTTCTATTTTACAGTCCTACAATTTTACTCTTAAAACATATCGCACAGTACACACTACAGTTAGTTATTCCGTCAATGACTTGTTGCAGTGCAGAAATTCCTGGCTTGCCAAGGAAGCTAGTTCTCGCATCCAATAAATATGGCTTCTAGAAAAAAAGGAGAAATACTGGTTTCTCAATGTGGTCAAAGTAGACAAAAGTGTAAGGTGCTCTTTAAAATCAGGGGAAAATGTTATACACACAAAAAGAGGTTGATATGTGCGTCTGCCAACTATTGGCTGTAGTTGACATCGACAGTAGGTTTGCCCCCCCTTGCAACCCCGAATGGGAAAAAGTGGTATCCCATAATTAGATGGTTGAAATTAAGTCTGACAAGCAATGGAAAACCTCTCATTAACTTTCTGTTGCAACAGGTCTTAATGACTGGTTGGTTGTTGAATATCACTCGCATATTGCCGAGATGCATTATTACAGCTAGCACTGGATATATCAGTTAAATATATCACTGCAGGAGACCAAAATCGACCATTTCCCATAAAACGTGAACTATTTTCCAAGCACAACCATTCACTCTTTTCCCACTGTGAACCCTCTTTTTATCCACAGTCTGGCAAACCACCAGAGCCAACAGATGATTTAGTGTGAGCTACATTGGCTTTCATTTCAGTTTGCTGTAGGGAATTCTCCTTTTGCTCTTGTGATGCATTATTATGGTCCCTGCAGCCTGTGAAGCATTGTGTGTGTGAGGATGTGTGTGTGTGTGAGAAAGGGGGTTCATTATGTTCATATTATCATATAACAATGCTGTTTAAGAGTTAAAAGTACCAATGAGACCACCAGCAGATTCACCACCTCCTGCAGCTGGTAGCAGTAAAAAGCAAGTCTCTGATGAATATTAACTAAGTCTGTGTGCATAAAGTATCATTAAATAGTTAGTCTGTTGTTTTGCCTGTTTGATGACTGGCCTTGGGTGGCGGTCGAGGCAGTAAAATTAATTTAAAACTGAATAAAGACATGAATATTCTGGCGTAGGGTGGTCTTTAGTGTTCTTTCTGTGGCTTTACATGGAAGATTTGGCGGAAACACACGGAAAAAGTTGGCTTCTTTTAGGTTGTTAGTGGCCTCAGGCTCATCTCTGTGTTTCCAACTTTTAGGGCCATTTGCTTCTGGACTTCCATTTTGACATTTCGGGGCCTAGATTTTAGAATTTAAGCTGGTGCCATTTTTGTGGGGGACTCAGAATAAACCCTATTAGGATAAAAAGGTGCATACAATGTCACTCTTCTATTGACATTTTGCCATTTTCAGGGACTTGTCCATCACAGGGTAGCCACGCCCTTTTCTCTATTTTACTCTGAATGCCATTTAATTTAGCAATGTACTCAGCAAGGCCTCCAAGTCAAATCATCTCGCAATTTAAGGGTCAAATCTTGTACAAAATAGCTAGTTTGAACTTCCCTGCCAACCCTTGCTTCTGCCTCTGCAAGCCGCTTTGCATCCCACCTTTAACTTCATCTCCCTTTTCATGCTCTATTTGTCTTATCAATGTCATTCTTGGTTGTCATTGAGGCCTGCTTTGTCCTGAACTACTCCTTGCTGCTGCTGTCCCTGCCTTAGGCTGTCCACATTTGCAAAAATGGAGAGGTCCCAGAACAGAGCCATGCTGCCTAATATAACTTACTGCAATGGAAACTAAAGGCCTCTTTGACACATTTTAAGGTTAGAAAATCAAATTGGGGGATTTACTTATCAACCACTGTACCATAGAACCTACTTTAACAAGCAGGGGAATTGCCCCCAGTTGGTTATTCACGTCACAGGTAGGTTCAAACCTCAAACCGGAGAGGGGCCTGTGTGGAGTTTTTTATGTAGTACCACATCTCAGGTGGGTTCTCTTTGGGTTCTCCAGCTTCCTCCCACAATCTAAGACATGCTTCTTAGGGTAATCTGTGACTCTAAATTTCCCTATGACAGCCAGGTATCGACTTTTGCTCACAGCAACCCTGAACATGATGAGCCACATTTGATTATTTGTTTTGAACACTCTTATTTATACAGTTTTAAAAAATGGAATCCACCAAAAACAGTTGGTTTTAGTATCAAGAACCAATCCCTAATGCATGAAATTGATTATAGGCAATGGTCATAATACTACAAAGACACATGAAGTCTAGATTAACAGAGTGTAAATCTGAATTTCCCTCAGGGAATTAACAAAGTACATATTATGTTATCAAAGTTGGACATTTTTTCATGCCTATAGGTGTAAGTTAATGGTGTTTCTGTTTGGTGTGCAGTGAGTTTGGAGTTTGTTTGGAGTCCCTCTCCCTGCATGTTAGTTCTTATTTTGCATTTGTGTGTTTGGTGGTAATGAGCCAATAAAGGTGCACAAGTCAAGAACCAAAAAGCTGTGACTCCTGCATATTCAGTCATGTATTTATTCCTCTTTTGTCAGCCTCTGCTCCATCTGAATACGATGTGAGTCAGTGAAGCACAGAGAAAAGGCCTCCTGTCTGTAAAGAGCTGTCAACAGGGAGTCCACACTGTTAGAATATCTTACAGACTGCTTCTCTGCTGCAGACGCCAGCTTTTATCTTTTCAGGGCCGAACACACAAAGGCCTCCCCTGAGCAGGAGCATGTAAAAGAGCCTCGTCTCCACTGTGATCAATACAGGTCAGTGTTAGTCAGTGGATGTGATCATCCATGAGTTCCCTCAGGAGGAAAGTAGACCGCTTCATTTCTCCCTGTTAGTACTTATTGGACAGTAAACATGGATCTCTGTTCCTGCTGATGTCAGAGGAAGCCAGGCAGCACAAAAATCTAAGAAACACTAATCCTCACAAGGGAAGAGTAAACGGCACAGAGGGATTGTAAGTGACTTGAAACAGTAACATTTGAATAGCCTGAGGGACCCGTGAAGTCGTATCTGAGAACATGACCAAAAGTATTGAGTATGACATGAAACAGAGAAGACCCAGGAACTTTTACAAGTAGTGCAAAAATAATGTATCATTAAACATGTATCACTGAATTGACAACAATAAACAGACATAGTTGCATTGATTTTATTGGTGGAATATTTGCTTCTGTTTCAGCCAGCAAAAAAAGTCACCGGCAGAAATGTCGTAAACGTTGCAATGTACA